GGAAGAAAGCAGCATGTATGATGACATTGTTTTTGTAGATGTGATTGACACTTACAGAAACGTTCCCTCCAAACTGCTGAACTTCTACCGATGGTAAGTAGAAAAGGAAGTATTTTCTTATTTTCTCTTAGGAATTTGTTTGTAGTGCAAGATGATCTAGCAGATCATGTTACTTGATAGGTTCCATGAAATACATGCCTTATGTGATTTACTTCATTAAGTTGTATTTCTATCTCAGCACTTTGCATGCATGTAGTGAGTAAAATGGCAGTGCCTATAGTTTTTTGAATGCTGACCCTTGGTGCCTCAAATCTGCACAAGCTGGCAAGACAGGCTTCTGCTCTAAGAGTCCAGGTATAAAAATTTTCATTTCTCCTTCTAATTTCTTTTCATTTGTATCTAACTGAAAACTAGCAGTTGTAGTATTTTAAAGCATGAGTTTTGGCCAGTTTGTGTACTTGCTCAGTGTTTCAGTTTGTGGCTGTTGCTCCAGTCCCATAATCATCTTGATGGGCCTTTGCTGGACTCTGCCCAGTATGGCCATGTTCCTCTTGTACTGAGGAGTCTGAGACTGCACATGTTGTCCAGATGTGGCCACACCAGTGCTGAGTGGAGGGGAAGGATTGGGAGCATGTGTACAGCAGGGACAGAAGGCTGATAGGAAGAGTTTTCATAGTGAAATGCATTGTCTGTGCTAATTCAGTAAGTTTCTACCTATAAATTTGCAGTGATTTCATTACTCTGAGATAACTGTTTCAGTTAATTGATGCTGCTGTGGAGTAAAAAATACAGTTGACAGTTGTACTTTATCCAAAATTCAGTTTAGTTGCTTGCAAGATTATGCACTTATGTCACAAATTCCATGGCTATGAATGTAACTGAAAAACTGAACACGCTTTCAGTTCTAAAAGGCGGTTTGCATGTCAACACTTAGATCTTTGTGATAATTTCTTACAGATTAGCAATTTTTCAAGATTTAGTAACAAAAAGGCTTTTAAAAATACCCTTCTTTTTGTAAGAAGTTACCCTTACAAATGTTTGTAACCAACCCAGCCATGATCCCTAGAATCTTAAGCTGTTTCGGTTATTTTATGTGTCTCATGTTCAACCATTTCAGACAGGTAAAGATAACATTTTTCATGTTTGAAGGGTGCATTTACAGAGAAAGAGTACGGACAGAGTTGTTTCCACAGATGTTTTTTACCACCTACAACCTTCTCATTGCCCTTGAACTGACTGTGTCATCCTGAAAGGAGGCTACTGACGTGTAGCCAGTGGCTTTTAACAGCTGTGCTGCCATCAGCATCAGGGATTCATATTCTTCTGAGGTCAATACTGCTTAAGATGCTTTCATTAGTAAATCCACCATCTGTCCTGGAGAACAAAACTTCAAATTTGTTTTCTTCTGCTCATACACAAGTCCATGTTGTAAGATCATCATAGGACACAGCTCCATCTCCTTTGAAGCGCAAGCAGTCAGCCTTGGTCGATAGAGAAAACTTTTAAAAGTCAAGGGTAGCAAAGATGTTCCTTCCCTCTTGCTCCCCTCCCACATCCCAAAAACCCCTTGCAGAGCATGCTGTCTGTAGTTTGTGGTATGCAGCTCAGCATCTCATCACTTTCCTTTTTGGCTACAGGACAGTGGAATCAACGAGTTTTGACTTGTTGCTGAAGACTGATGATGACTGTTACATTGATTTAGAAGGTGTTTTTAACAGGATAATGCAGAAAAAATTGGACAGGCCAAACATTTGGTGGGGAAAGTAAGTTGTTTTTTAAAATTACCTTTAAGAGATAGTTACCATTTCTTTAGTGATTTAAGTCTGTTTTCATGTGGGTTTCCCTCCTATGCCTAAGGAACCCAACCTGTAAATAGCAGGACTTCTGTATGTGTTAAACTTTGAATCTCAGAATCAGAAATCAGTCCTTTACAATAACTTTCCAGAGTATGCCTTTACAGTGATTTAAACTTGCTGAATATCTTGCCTGGTTTTAAAATGTGTGTAGACATCTTTGTCATGGTACTTAAGTAAATAAGAATTTCCCAGCAACATAGCAAAGTTAAAAGTACATAGTACAGAACTATAAATGCTACTTTTTGTAATGTCACTATGATTTTTCTCGTGGGCTTGAGGAAGTGGGGTAAATTAGAGAAACAAAATTTCTCTTATGGTCTGTACTTTATTGTAACAGCTGCGAAATTCAGGCACTGCTACCCACTTCTGCTGTATGAAATAGCAGATCTGATTAATAAATTTTTGACTGAAGTCGTGAATAACCAGGAGGATCAAAATAGCCCATATCTTCCCTTCCATCCATGGAATGCATGGCAGCTCTGGTATGAAATCCAATACAGCAGGAACTCTATGCTACTGCAGCATTCAGTGTGGTATATGCAATTCAATATGCAGCATAATGGTACAATGTGCCTTCCTGTTGCCCTCTGCTCATTGAAGAAAAACAGGCCTTTGCTGCTTTGCTCCACAAATCTGATCCTGCCTGTTGCTTATAAAGCAATTTAATAAGGTGTGTGGTCAAGTGTGTGAAATAGTTGGTTATCTTGTGATTATCTCAAAGATCTGTAGGAGTGACATCTTTGAGTGTAAATTCTTTAATAGTCACAGTCTTCAGGTCAGGCAAGTGTGATATGTAGGGAGCAACACTGAAATAACTATGGAAGTATAAAAGGATTATCAAAGCAGATGCTTCTCAGTCTGGAGGGGCTTGAACCCTTCGTGCTGTGATTCAATGGAGTGGAAGGTGCTGTGCTCAAGTGAATTCAGGTGTCAGATGAGACTTTCATTTACTTTGTGCTTTAATATGTCAGCTTCAGTTGAGAATGAGCAGAATCTGGTAACATACCTGCCACTCAGCTGTAATTCCTCCCTTTCGGGGCTGTTGTCTGAGATGACAGTTCTTAGTAGCTCACTGAAGCTTTCAGCTGCTTGTGCTCATGACTGGAAATCAGCAGTGCTGAACTTTTGTGAAACAGGGGCAGACCCTGCTGCATTGACACAGTTGTGTCTCTTGGCTGTGGCTGCATGAAGTGTTTGTGAGGCAGAGGAGTGCAATAGCAGCCTGTTCCCCAGCAGGGGAGCAGGGTGCTTTTCACGTGGCAGTTGGCAGGGTCCCTAGCGCTGCACAGCGCCGCAGCGAGCTCTGCCACGCTGGGAGCGTCTGGGGAGACTCTGCAGCCAGAGACTGCTTCCTGCAGGCCTCTGGAGGGAATAAAGCCTTCCTTAGAGAACCCCACTGCCAGGAAGAGTTCCTTTGTAATTCAGTGATGGCAGCCTTTGAACATCTCCTTTGTTGAGCTTCGTTTGGAAAACAGCTTCGAGAAGGTAGTACTGCTTCCTGATTTATAAGCAGCCACTAGCTTTAACAGGAAAATGGGTTGCATAACATCACTGTCTGCATGCCTGCTGGAGGCATTGCCTTTGTGGCATGTTGATTAACCAAAGGGGTTAATTAGCAGGAGACAGATGTGCCCATTACAAAATAGGTAAGGATGTGTGTGCTTACCTAGTTCAAAACCCAACAGCAAGGCATAGATGCTGAGGACCTGACTGTCAATGTTGCTTTGGTTTCTGTTTAGAAAACTTTCTCTTGTTATCCAAGATTGAGACCAAACAACAGTTAAAATTTCAGCTTTGTGCCCTAGAGAAATAAGACTAGGAGCTATAATTAGGATCACCTACTTCTTTCTCTCAGTTGTTTATCAGTATTACTTCAGTTATCAGTGCTCATAGGTTCTACAGAGGCCTCTCTATAAACATCTCATGTCTAACATGTCTTCAGTTTCAGACTAAATTGGGCAGTTGATAGAACTGGGAAGTGGCAAGAACTGGAGTATCCAAGTCCTGCATATCCAGCCTTTGCTTGTGGGTCTGGCTATGTCATCTCCAAAGACATTGTGCAGTGGCTGGCAAGCAACTCTGAAAGATTAAAAACGTACCAGGTAATAAAGATTAGTTCAATTTTTCTGTGTTGAAGTGGCCTGGGGAACAGCATGTACTGGATGAGTCAGAAAGAACATTGCTCAAGTGTTAGTGTTGGGTTCTCCTGGCTCATGTGGGCTTTTGCCATGTTTTTGGTTGCTAGGTTTAGTGCCTGTTCTAATTCAAAGCACAGATGTTTGGGACTGAAAACCTCTGGAGGTGTTATCTTGTTTTTTGTACTGTTTCTGTAAGAACAGTGTATTGTTATGGGAAAGGTGGAAGGATTATTTTAACACCCCTGCAGTAGTCTGGCGTAGGTTTTTGTAGTTACCATTCTTTACTGCTGGTAGGTGATGCAACTCATTCCAGGTCACAGTCGTGCTTTATGCTTTCTTGGTGCTCATATCTGTATTTTTTATTTTCATCTCAGGGTGAAGATGTGAGCATGGGCATCTGGATGGCAGCTGTAGGACCCAAGCGGTATCAAGTAAGTCTGAAGGAATCATCTGACCTTACAGAAAGAGGAGATGGCTGCTGTTCCAAGTAGCATAAAACAGGAGAAATGGTGGTTTTTTTTGGAATTAGAATAACCATTGAATTAAAATCCAGAGGGAAAAAAAGTCTTTTAAACATGTATTTAAAAGGAAAACCACAAAACTGCCACAAACCACCTGCAGACTCCATCCCTACCCCCAAGTTCTCTGAAAAGGTCTAGAAGATCAGTTTGGGATCTTTGTGTGCAATGTTTGTTGCTAGAAACAATAAACACCTGATTCTTGGAAGTGAAAATTGTTGGAGACACATACTTTCTAAGAAAAACTATTGAAATGTTTCTCTCTCTCTTGACAGGATGGTCTCTGGTTGTGTGAGAAGACGTGTGAGAGTGGCATGCTGTCTTCCCCCCAGTACTCGCCCCAGGAGCTGGGAGAGCTCTGGAGATTGAAGGAACTGTGTGGAGATCCATGTAGATGTGAGGAAAGGTGATGGACTTGCCTTGGAAAACAGGGTAGTGTATAATGATCATGGAAAAGTGTACATTTGGATTCATTCCTGGAACAATAAGAAATACTAAGGTACCTTTTAATGTTGGGTTTCAACTAAAGTATAACAATATTTGCACATCCCTTTTGATAATTACAAGTGGACTGATACTGTTCATTTTCTATAGTACAGATGTTGATCAGACAAAAACCAAAATGTTCAAGATTAAAAAAAAATCCTTTTTATATAAAGTCAAAGACCTACTTGTAATTAATAAATGCACATAAGAATGCCAACTAGCCTGTCTTTTGTAAATTGAAGCACTACTGATTTGGTTCAGTATAGGGCTGTTCCAGGCTCCTGTGAGAGTTGTGCTCAGCACCAGGGCAGCTGGTAAGTCTTGCTGCAGCACATTCTGTGCTGTCTGAGGGGCTGCCCTCATCTGTGCAGGGACAGGGACAGCAATGGGGGCTAGGATTTGTGATTAGTTTGTTTATATAATTGTCATTTTAGATAAAAATAAAATCAAGGTTTGCTTATACCAAATCTTCAAGTACTGCAAACTTGGCCTGATTTAGGAGGGATTTCTGAGAGCTCATTCTGACTAGATATGAATTTGAGGGTACACAAGTGAAAGTAAAATAAGCTTGAGGAACAGCACACTGAAGATTGTAAAATAAATAGCAATGCCTTGCAGTGTGCTGAGAACTTATTTATAATGTGGTATGTTAACACTGTAGGGTAGAAGAAAGGTCTGGCAGATTTTGACCTTAATCATCTAAGGTAGATACTTCTAAAATTACTACTGGGTTTTGTTCACTGTAAGGTCGTTGGATGTAGGTGAAAACAAAGAGGAAGTGACCTCTCAGTGCAGCACTGATCTTGTCTTGATAGCAAAGAGATCACAACTCAACCCTGTACTCAGTTCAGTAAAACAAATTCTCACTGCTGCTGGGGGAAGGCAGTATAAAATCTTGGCAAAAGGGTGACCTTGAGTTTTATTTAATTGAAGCATTTAAGCACAGTTTGGTAGCTCTCCCGTAGGACAAATGAGCAGATGTTTTCATGGAGGCTGATGAGCAAGTTGAGGAGTTGAAAGTACAGTTGTACAGCCCTTTGGTGCCACATGTGTGAAACTCATATTCACCTGTATGTCTGTTCAGGCACAGGCTGTCCGTGTGTCTGTCTCTCTTCTGCAGTTCTTGTGTCAGCTTTTCCTTCAGTCCAGAGAGAGAGTCCCTTCTTTACCACCGTACTAACACACAGTCTCCACTTTCTATTGAGTAAAACTGCAAAGGCTTTAAGTCATTGTCTAGTTCAACTTCTTTTCCTTCCAGCTAGAATGAGAAAGCAAAAAAAAACCTAATCAGACTTACACTGAAATCCCTTCATAAACCAAATAGCAGGCAGTTGCAGTCAGGGAGAATCTGTCATATTACAGGAATGAAATTAGGTCCTAAATGACAGCATGAAGACAGCTCTCCTCAAGTGAAATGAATTTCTTTATATAGTATTTTAGAACATGCTATGGACCTTTAGCAGAATGAAACATTTTGTTTTTCAGTATCCATTTTTAACTCACTTTAGAACTTTTGTAGGACAGTTTCAGGTCTGAACCAGGAATTTTAAACAGGCGATACAGCAGTCCTTTGACCTTCTGAATAGTCATAGACTCTGTTGAGGGGAGAGAAAGAAAAGTTATTAGAAAAATGCTGCTGCCACTGAGCTGTAGCAAAGTACCAGTGTTTCACTTTACTTGCTTATAGCAACAGTGAAAGGCTGTATTGCTGCTTCAGTTGTAACACTGCAATAATGTCTAAGGTACCTGAGACCATATCTGCTACTGGCAAGTGGAAAATGGTTTCACCTGTGGTGGACAGGGCAGGATGTGCTGCTACAGAGTAAGCGCTTTGATCCCATACACCAAATTAAAGTGTTACGGCTTCATAATTTACCTTTTCTGAGTCTGTATTTCTACTTGCTAAACTAAGTGACCTTTGGGACACACACCAGCCAGGTTCTGACTACTTGCATCTGGCAACTGTTCCTTGCAGTTTTGCATTACCAGGAATTGGCTTTCCCAGCACAAGTAAGGAAATGGCAGGGTGGAACTAGTGACATTCTTGGGAATGGTATTGAGTTATTAGTCCCAAACACATTTGTCAGCAGTTGTTTATATTATGAAGTCAGTTATAGGAAGGGGTATTTTTTTGTAATGGATCTTGAATGAGTAGATGTAGTTTGTTCCAGAGGTGATACCTGTGTTTGCAATAGATAAACTCAGTATTTTGGTTGAATTTTCACTTCTTTTGAAGCTTTATCTAAAGGCACAGCAATAGCGAGTTACTCCTGTAATACCACACATTGTACTTAGACAAATATTTTTCTATCAAACATTTTTGTAAAAGCTGTATCTATCTGATTTTATGCAAGTTGTGATAATAAATGTGATTTTTATTTTAGAATAAAGCTTGAATTCTTCTTTTCTCTCAGACCTCATTCTGACACATCTTTCCAAAACATCAGCTTAATTTAGAATGGTCTTATTCCTTCTAGTATCACCACAGACACGAAAATTTCAAAGAATGAGTTTGATGGAGGTCAGAACTAGACTTCTAACTTCATAGATTAGATAGTAGACCTCAATATCTAGATTTACACACTGTGTGGTTGCCTCCTAAGACTTCATATTCTGGTTACTTAGTTAACACATCCACCAGATTTCATCCCTGTTAATAGGGATGAAATTGCCTCAGACTATTAAACATGAAACCAGCAGCAGAGCATCAACTTTACAACAAAGCATCAGCTTTCCATCTTTGAACTGGACTGAAAGTAAGTATGAAGGCCAGAAGAATTATGACTTTTCAAATAATTTCTGTCTTTGTCATTTCTTTATATGACAGAGGAAAACCTTTCAGGAGCTGACAAAGCCAGAGGCAGCTGGCCATTCTTTAATACAGTTGTTTGAAAAGGAGCAATGAAACAACTACTTGAACATAAGCCAAGAGTTCTTACCTGGCAGTTTTTTCTCCACTGGCTTCTGTTCAGGTTTCTCAGGACACTTAATTGTCAAAGCTTAAAGAAGAAGGGTGAGGCATTAGTGACAGAACAATAAGCCCTGTTCTGGCAGAAGCATAGTCTTTCTAGTCTCTTTTTAGTACAAATTATTTCCCTTAGCTCAGCCTGATCTCTCAAAAATTAGGAGGTAGCCTGCATCTCAGCAGTTAAGGATAACATTTAGTCATTATCTGAAAAATTAATTAATGAAAATAACCAAGTTTTTATTCATCTTTGGTAAATTATTGTAGAGGTGACTCCCTAACTGCTTAAAGATTTTTTGGTCAAAATGAGTATTTACTTAAAAATGCCTAATTTCTATTTAATTTTTTTAAAATAACCTGCAGTAAAATGGAAATTGCTTATTCAGTTTAAAACAGGCTTTTGGTCCTCTCAAAAGCATCATACAAAGACTTTCACAGGATATAATTAGCCTAATTATTTTACAGAGATTAAGAGACTTATTCTTAAACAAAGGTTTATTTTATGTCTAGCCAATAAGATTCCTTATTCTATTTAGTCTTCCACTTAAATGCATTAGAATGTAATGCCTTAAAAATACTATTTTGCCCATGAAGTAAAAATTTTCAGTTCTTCTGTCAGCTGGGAAACACAGCTACATGAATTTGCAAGTCGAGGATGCAACCTAGATTAAATATGTAGACAGCTCCAAATACCAAAGCTACCCATGTTTTTCTTGTCTGTCCTAAAGAAGTTATAAAAAAGGTAAAATAGAAAACAGAGCAGCTGAGATTAAAGCCTGAGATGTCTTTTGTAAAGAAGCCATTCACACTGTCAGAATGGAGTATCAATAACCTTTGTTCTCCATTAAATCTCAGTTGAGAAAATCATTTGGCTTGGGTTGAGGGGGAAAATGAGAGTACACAGAATCAGCTTTTCAGTCAAACTCACTGAGACAGTTCAGAAAATCAAAATTACAAGCTGGAACTTTTTGTTCTTCATCTACACCTAGGAGACACTAAGCTCATGAAATAGTCTAAATGCAGAAGGAACAATTTTGACCATTTCCGGCCTCTTACTCAGGAGCTGATTTTTCAGAGTCGAAGGCTGTTGTCCCTTCAGTTCTCCTTCTTCAGGTGCTCCATATTCTGTTGGAAGAAAAATAGAAGAAGTAAGAAAAATAGAAAAGTAGTAGAACCCTTTAAAGACTAAAATTTGAAGATCTAGGACCACTGTGGTGCAGGATCAGGCAGGAGTTCCCTCAGCACAGCCGTGGTGGCTCCTGCACCACACAGTGCTGCAGACACGAGCCTCGGCCAGCTCCAGGCCAGGGGTGTCTGCTTAACATTCCCACTGCTGGGAGAGTGGATGGATGGATGGATGGATGGATGGATGGATGGATGGATGGACGCATGCACGCACGCAGGTGCTGGGGTCTCTGAGGCCAGGAGCCAGAGTTCCTGAGGCAGCAATGCCCCAAAGGATGCAGTTCTGTGCAGAAGCCCACTGGCACACAGGCTTGCCAATGCATGGGCTTTCCTAAGGCTGTAGCAACACATGGGAAAAACACCCAAGGGGAAGAGAAATTGAAAACAGACCAAACCAGTGCTGCCACAATGCCAGAGGTGAGGAAATGCTATTGTGCTCTGCTTGTACTTACTAAGACAAAGTGCTGGGTATCTAGGATGGGCAGCAAGAAATTCTTCACTTGGTTTGTTTTTCTCTGGGTTCCAATGCCCGCCAGCTTCTAGCCAGTCCTTTCCAAATATTTTGCGATAATCAAGCTCTGCTCCTCTTCTTTCGGCAGGAAGGATCTGTACTGACACAGGAATGGCACATAATATGATTATAACTTATAATATGATTATATAACTTTCCAGAGAACAAAATCTAATCAGTGCCCCAGACTCCTTGGTCTTATTTGATGTTCAATGTTTGTATGTTTCAATGCTCCCAAGAATCTTACAAACCATGTCTCCAAATACTGAGTGATCCATAGATTCAGTATATTTTAGAGCCATTAAGCCCCTCTGTGTACTCACTGAACCATAAATTAATATCTAAGCAAAGATTTTGCTGTATATGGTGATGCAAGGATGTTTTGTGTAGCAATGGATCAGATGCTGCTTCTGCTCTCCTTTATGATAAACATTTGCTGAAAGTTTGATTTGGTGTGGATTATATTTTTCTATTGCAGAAGGCAAATGTTGGTATTGCTGTCACTGAAACAGATCAGACTATGCTGCTTTTTCTATTTTTTCTTTCTTTTAAGAGTATGGTTTTTGTTAACAGTCCTGCAACTTCAACACAATTCAGGCATTGAAAAAAAACCGCCATTGACCCATCTTGTCCAAGTCCCCACTGAGTTAGCAATGTTCACAAACAGGGCTCAGTCTTGCACTGAGCTTGTGACTGCCCCACTGACAGGGGGATGGATTAGTTGGCACTTTACTTTTCCTGCACCCAAACAATCAATAATCTTAAAAGAAACTGAAAACAATTCCTCAGGCAGTGATTTAAAGTTTTTGCCAGACTCATGCAATTTGTTGAAGTATCACACACCTCACAGTTGTTCAAAACCTCCAACCGGCTTATCTTGGCAATAATGAGCTGCTTCAGGGTCTCTGGGTTCTTCTCTGTGTCCACGAAGGGGTTATTGTTACACTGCAGTGCCCGCAAACTTGGCAGTTTGTCAAGCTCATTGATAGACGACCACTGAAATGGAAGGGGAGAGTCTTTTGAGGAAATACATAAGTTCATTTCAGAACAATACCTGGTAACACTGATTTCTCCTGAACAACAAACATGACTGGAAAAATTCTTTTGATCATCTGAACCAAGTACTTGGATCCTGTTCATGTAGCTAAGGAAAGAACTGCACTCCATTTAATTAAAAAACAAACCAAAACAAGAAATTAGATTATTAGAATTCTGTGAGAGAAATTATAAGGTAGCTGCCATAACATAAATGTGTTTTTTAACGTTAAGAAATATTTTTACATTTTTAAACTATGCCTCTGTATTGAACAAAGTGTTCAACAGTTACCTCAGAATCTTACACATAAAATGAAATTTTAAAAAGCAAACTTAAAGTTACTCTTAAACAAAGATGCATTTATTTACAAAATGTGAAACCATCACAATCTAACCTACCTGTGATATTTTATTGTCATTTATTGCAAGGCGTTTTAGCGAAGGAAACATTTTAGTTTTGCATCCTAGGAAAAGAGTAACAGGAAAACAGTGAAAATTTTAAATTAACAGAATTTTAAAACTATAAATAAATTACTTCTTTTACATACCAAATCCAGCATCAGGAAAGTGTACAGAAGATATCCCAGTGTTTCTAAGTATTAGCTGTTCTAATCTGAAATTTAATAGACACAATGATCACTGTATGTGGCACAGGAAGTTATTTGCAAAGAGATACAACCTGATTTTTTTTCTTTTGTTAATAAAGATCTGCAGCTTTTGATGTGGTGCAGCATCACTGACAAATGAAAAGCAGCCTCACAGGCAGAACCCAGACTTCAGCCGCGTTCAGGGAATAAAATTTTCAGTGAGTAAGTGCAACAATTTCAAACTTTCAGAATGGCTCCTGTATTTAAAATGTGTGATTTTCTAAATGATTTTTTAAAAATAGCTTATGGCTATTGAAAATCATGGCTGCTGTTTTGGTGTACAGGGTAAGATGATAATTCTGCAAATTAGCAAAGTGTGGTAAATCACCTTCATTTCATAAGTGTATAATGAAAACCTAATAACACACAGCTGAAGAATGTGTTATTATACAACAAAAGCAAGATTATATTAAAATAGCTCAACTAAATAATGCAGTTACTCTCCTCAAGAGGGCAAAATGCCTCTATTTCAAGATCTCATTAATCTTTCATGCAACATCAATACTATCACATTTCAGCCAACAAGGACTACGGAGGTGAATATCTAGGACAAAGAATTTCCTGCAAATTTGTTTACAGCTACCTGGGGAGCTGTGCTATGAGATGCAGCTGATTTCCATCCAGTAGCTGGTTGTCTGAAAGGTCTAACAACTTCAGGGTCTGCAGGACATTATCAGGCCTGATATATTGGAAAAAACAAAACACAAAACCAGAACATTTAAAGTTATTGGCCAATAAAACCACTATTTTCATAACTATATAATTGCATGCACACAATTGTGCACATTTATAAAATGTTCTGAAATACATCATGTGAAATTTGCATCAATTATTGTTGTGGTGATGTAAATGCTACAGGGATGTAATTTTATGTGCTGTGTAACTGTGTGGTACACCAGTGGCTTACAACTGACTGACTCATGTTACTCACCTTTCCAAAACTGTAATATTATTAGAAGAAAGGTACAACTCTTCAAGTACTGGCCATCCTTGAGCACAAAGAAGAACCTAAGAGCAAAACTTTATTTAATATTACAAAAGATGGGAATATTTCAGAAATTATACTTCATGCAAATTTGCTCTGAATGTGTTCAGAACAAGCTATGGCTCTCCAAACCAGAGGAACAATTATTAAAGACTTCCTAGTGTTCCCTTTCTTCCAGATGGCTCCCCTGTGCCTGCATCTGCCAGCACAGATGACATCACAGGGGTTCTGCAGTCACAGGACTCTAAGTCCCAGGCTTGTGGCCACCCTCACAGTTGAGACTGGAAACTGACTGACCTGGAAACTGAATAATTTATTCAGTGAGTTGGAGTGACCAGGTATTCCCTATGCTGAGGTGAGGAATTGGCTGTACAAACTCTGTACATGTGCAGAAGTTCCAAAACCTATGTGTATAGCTAATACACATAGTACATTTGACAGAATATTTTTAATACGGTAATTTTTCAGAGCTTGAAGCCTTTTCTGTCTTGGGACTGTGCCAGCCTATAACTCACTAAAAGCCAAGAGTTGCATGAATTCAACACATCCTGAAGTTTTCAAGTTCTCTAAAGAAAAAAAAAATAATTTAAAAAAGGCTACAAAATGAACAAAGATACTTTTGTATTCAATCTTATGCCTTGAAATTGTATAAAAGGTATTATTTTACTTTACATAGCTTTATTTAACTTTACACAGCATGAATCCATCCAGCTGCAGGTCTACACAACTGACTCATAAGACACCATGCCAAGGGTAAACACTGAGATCTCGTCCAGAGGCAGCCTATGACTTGGAACTCAACTGTTTCACCCCCAAAAATATGAAAAATCATATCTGCTGGCATATCTGTAACACACAAACACCAACTCAGATATAACAACTTTTCCTGTTCCAAAGCAAGAGCAGGGAACAGATATTTCATCTCTTTAATCTGATAGTGTTCCCCCATGTCAACAAGACAGACCAAAATAGGTATCCACTGGTGATGAAGAAGCATGACAAGAAACCTGCAGAGTCAAGAGAAATGAGGTGCATGTTCAGTAACAGAGATTGCTCCACGACAGCCCAGCATTGGGATGGTTGGATGGAATAAAAAAAAAAACTGCACAAACCTGAAGTATCTGAAGATTTTTCAATATGACTAGAAAATTGCTGAATGATAGGTCACAGCATGATTCCAAAAACTCAAATTGCCAAATTTCCAGCTACTGCTTAAAATAGCTTCTTCAGAAACAAAAGTTCAGAGATCTGACATGGAATTAACCCCCAGGAAAGACTAGGGCCTCACTGTGGATAGCTGATGGGGAGGTAACAAATACCCAGAAGAGAGCCACTGATGCTCAAAACCAGAAGAATGGAAATGCAAGAGCCATTGCAAAAGAAATAAAAATGAGAACAAGAAACAATTGTCACCATGTAAGTTCATGATGTTCCTGTACCTTTAGTCTGTTTATCCCAGGAAGCAAATAATATAATTGGAAAAGGCACAAAGAAGCTAAACAGGAATTAAAACCATGAAATGGAGAATAGCTGTTCTCAGTTACTTTCATATAAACCATTGGAACTTACTAAATGAAATTACCAGGCAGCAATATCAGAACCCAAAAATGGTTGAATTTATGTTAAATGATATGCACAGCAAAATTTTCAAAGGGGTTCTTAATACAGTTAGATAAATCATGAAACAAAAACATCCACAAATATTAATTAGAGGTATATAGTCTTGAGCTCACAAAGCCACACAATTCCAGATTGCTTTCTAAGAAGCTCTTACCATGTGCTTACCCTTTGCCTAGAATTTTTCCCAACTACCTGCTGCTACTTGCTAGTGCCAGAAGCATGATCCTGCACTTCTGTTCTAACCCAGATTTTTCTTTTACCCTGTATAATAGTAGATTATATTATAAATACAAAATCTTAGTTTGAAAATAGAATCACAAATATAACATTATGATTTAAATGCTGAATAAGAAAGAAAGGGTTTGGAACCATAAATACAAATTCATTACACTCAGATGCAGTAATTCAATTTCTAAGTCAATGGCTGCTAACTTTAAGTCGTTTTACAGGACATTTTTCCCCCCCTTGAAAGTCATATGTTATGTTTTGAACAATCAATCAACAATTCTACAGTAATAAGCTCTTTTACTGATTACTAATAATCTCAGAAGTATTTAGATATATGCAAATCACATACTAATGAAAGAATTCTTTCTGAAAACTGATGCTCAAGGCATGTGAATGTGGAGCTATGTATTACTGCATAACAGTTAAGCATATCCCTCTCCTGTGAAAAATACTTCAAAACAGAGGAACCAACTAAAAAAATCCAATTATAACTATCTCAATGCCATATATTCTTACATATACCAACAAGTAATTTTGAAATGCTGTTCACCATAAATTGTTTTAATTAAAATTAAAACACTCCTAAGACTTTTGCTTATATTGCCATCAACAATTTAAATGTATTTCTCATTTGCTTGGATTATATTAATGACTATTTTCTATTTGAAAGTGGAATTTTCAAGTAACTCCCCTCAGTGACATTTTCAAGTAGTTTGTTCGCAGAGTACTGATGTCAGGCACATGTCTTTATTTTTCCCCTTTTGTTTGACTGCCCTAGAACACCACTTTGAAGCACAGGCTTATGTCTCCTAACTTACAGGGAATGAACTGGAACAAATTTATAAAACAGATTTTGGAACCAAAGATGTCTTTATGGCCTATGACGAATCATCAGCTAAAGCAGAGTTTCAAAAAAGGAAAAAACCCAAAAGCTGCATCATTTTAAATTGCTCTGGCTAAGCTGGGGCTTTCTCACTGCCACTGAGTTGGCCCTGGAGAACTCTAATCTGCAGCCATGGCTCCAAGCAGCCTTTCAGTCACCCCATGGAGGGATGAAGGACAGCTGCTGGCAGGTACCAACATTTTAAACACCACAATGCACAGATTTACTCTGATGAGCACTAGGTGACAGTTACTAAGTGTTTGTAGCCACTTAATTCTTCCATTCCCTTCACCATTCATGTTGCTGCTACTTTGGAAGGATTATCAACTGTCCTGCCATAAATCCCACAGGCAGTTTTAAGAGCAGAGTGAATGGACACTAAACAAAAACACAGCAGTGACCTTCCTCTAGTCCTGCTGCAAGACAAGAGAATGCAGAAGCTTCTTTCTACTCAAGCTCCAGTTTTGTTAAATGCTCTTTTACTGGACAGCAGCTAGCAGCTGAAATCTGAAAAGTCATGTAACTTCACAATGCAGTACTATAAAATCTGACCCTGAGAAATCCAAATAACAGTTTGGAATTTAGACAATAATCTAAGTACCAGGACACTGAGATGCACATCCTAAGCCCCCTCTCTGAAAAAAGGCCCACTGCTAACTACAGTTGACAACAGGACTTCATTCCTAATAAGACACCATACCAGGAGAGAGTCATTTAAGTGTGCACATGTTTCAGTGCCTGAAACAAGGCAGAGCTTTGTTTTTCCTCTGCTCCCTGCTGCCAATAACCAGGTATCATGTGGTTCAAGAACCATCAGTATGGGCAAAGATACCAATCAGTCTCCTGCTGATGCTAAATGAGGCCAAACCAATGTTTTTCTCATCATAAGGAAATATTTTCTTTCTATTTGCATTTGTTCTATTGCATGCAGACAAGGACATGTAAATCTTCAACAGCTACCACGAACCAAAAGGTTTTCACTTAAAAAAAGCTTTGGGACATGAAGCTATATTGTACTCAACTGCTTTCTTTTGATTTGGCAATTTACAGATGTAGATGAAGTAAAATGTTTCTTATTAGACTCCTATGCCAATATTACTTCCTTCATTATGTAGGAAGTACATTAGTCAATATGTAACTAACACAGTTACCCAACAGCACCTTTTCTAAGGATGATTTGATTTCGGTAGAACAATACAATGCACAATTATTTATCGTGCTTCCCTTGCCTCAGAAACCTAATGATATTAAATTTAAAAAAAATCAGGAAAGGCTATTACCTCTGTCCATGTTATTTCAGTTTGATTAAGGGCCAGAATCTTCAAGTTTGAAAATGCACTGGATGTAAAAGTTGATGTAGATGGAAATTTCATTTTGTTTTCACTGCATTAAAAAAAAATGCATAATGAATAATCACATTTATTTAAGTCATTAGTTTGGAGCTACATATTAAAGAAAAAGAAATTTACACCCTCCAAAAATTAAAATCACTGCCAAGATGTCACATATTTTAAAATATAATAAAATATATTTCTAGTTATGTTCAAACATACTCTTTCCTAATTTATTTTCCTGCTTCCAGAATGCATATTTATTCAAGAATGCATATTTATTCCTCTGTGGCCTCTTTCACTAAGTTTTCAACATGAAAAGAATGATTTTCATTAATGTTAAATGAAACAAAGCCAGAGCTTGGGCTTAAACTCCTTAGTGTTTACTGAAAATGAAAAGCCCACAAGACTATCCAGACCCCAGCAAAACAAAAGTATGTAAAATCCTCTCTCAATAGGTAAGTATCACTTCAAAGAAGAAAAGATAAAGATCCTCAAATCTGCAGTCTTCAAACCAGTTTTCATTATTCACCCTGAAAGAGAAGTTTTTATTTCTTTCCTAAGGCATCATCTACCTGCATATTCTCATAAAAATCGCTCAATGTAGTTTATAGTTACACACTTAGGGGTAAAATTTCCACATAAAAGCTGGTGGATGGTTAAACACTTCTATTCTTCCAACATTCCATGCACAAAAAAATCAGTACCAGATTTACCTTCTTTCTGTTTTAAAGCAAACAGAAGGTCAAAACAATACAAAACTGATTCAGACTATATCAGTTTGTAGTTGCAAGCATCAGATTCCAGCATCAATCTCATCTTGTTTTCCATTTTTTTACAAAAAACTTCTGAAGACCCTTCAGTCTAGAATATCCTTCTCAACAATGAAAAACTAAAAAAATTATTCCGGGTGAATTAAAATAAATTTCTCTGTATTCTCATGCACGCTGATAACGATAAATCATTATATGCTCCAAGCAAAGATAGATTTACAAACAGCACCCAGATTGCAAACAGCTGTTCATTGCTAAATATTGAAGAAAATAGAACACCTATAACTACTTTAAAAATACATTTTTGTCACAATAACGATAAGAATAAATAAAAAACCTGGTGATTTAGGCTGCTACTTAGTCCATTGTGTTACTTCACACCAGAAAATTATTGTGGCATGTGCCAATTACTGTGTATAGGTGTGTATTAGAAATGTTCTTTATTCTGGGATTATTTTATGAATTTTCTTGTTTCAGTAGAATTGGAGCTTTATTTAACAACATCCTCCTTCCTTTTCCAATATCATCATTGTACAGGAAATTTTCCCCTAGATCTGTCACCATGGTCTCAACAATTTCTTATCAGCATCATTTTAGGACAGAAATAGACAAAGATTTGGGATAATTAAGGTTTAGTCAAAGCATTATGGACAATTAAGTTTAGTGTCAAGACACAGTTGGCTAAACAAAAGTGGATTCTTAAATGCAGACCTGCCTGAGCAGCCAGAATGTATCAAGAATAAAAAACCCCCAAAGATCAAATCTTAAAACTTTGAAGAAAATGTTCTCCAGAACTTAGTTTTACACAGAAGCTGAACTCCTAGGGTTCTTCTTGAATACAGATGTCAGAAAAATATAGCCCACACTACAGCCCACAACTTCAGCAGTTGCTTAAAAACAAGATTTAAAAAAACCAAAAGAAACCTTAGCTCCCATTAGAATGAGCCTTGTTGTATCCAGTTACATTTAGAAAGCTGAATCCTGAGCCTCTTGGTTTTTGTTCCCACCCCACAGGAAGAGAAACCCAAATATGAATATTTATACCTGACATTAAGTGTTTCCAGATTTTGAACTTGAGAAGCAATAGCTGCTACTGTCTCCCAAGATGATATCAGATTTTTTGATAAGTTTATATGCCTCATATCTGAAATTTCTTGTTAAGAAAAATAAACTTATCTCAAAACTGAACTTCCTTTTTTCAGAATTAGAATTAGGGTTTTGTTTTGAATCAAAGAGAAGAAGATTACACTAAGGGATGGTACTGCTCAGTTACAGCAAATTCTATTTTGATTTCTGATATGGAAATGGCTTATAGTTTTACAGAAGAGCTTAACCACACAAATCCTCAAATGGATTCATTTCTATACTGACAGGAACTCTCATAAGTCCTTAAAAATTAACAAATAAAAACTGCTTTGTAGTTTTGTAACACTGCCACCGCATGCAGTGTACTAAACACATTATTTGTTATATATTGGAAACCTCTGGTGTCTACAGAACATATCAGTTCTACTTCTATATGGTTATCTATTCTAGGGAATTTTTTAAAAAAACCATTGCTGGAGCCTTCTGAAACTGCAGTCACAATAACAACCTATGACTACACTTCTATTTTTATGCATAATTTGCATTTCCTCTCAAAAATTGTAGGCGCCTGGCTGTTTAACTTTTTAACATTACATTAAACTTTTAAATATAAACTTCAGGTTTAGTTTTTTTCTTTTTTTTAAATAAAAGGATACAAGTATCATTCAGTGCCGTGAACACTTGGAATGCTAAAGTATGTACTTTATTTGTGGCATCATGCAATACAGCAAGAAAAGGATACTGGCACATGTTCTGCTGATTTCCTCTTCCTGACCGGCATGGCTCACTGCACACTCCCGCACCGAGATATCCACCAGTTTGTTCAGTTGTCTACGTGAGAAAGAACATTCTGTTAGGTAATCTTCAAACAGAAATAGGTATGTTACATAAATGCCTGGTTTTTACAACTCCATAACATCCTTTTCATGTGTATCTCCTTTGGAATTAGCAATGTGCAGATTACCACACTGCAGTGTCATTCGCACTCAAAAAGAGATACATCTCTATTTTTTGCCTTTACATCACTACTACAAAATAAGTCTGCTTGAAACATAGTTCCAACTGAAATAAAGAGTTGGTAAAACAGATTAAATATAGCTGTGCAAATTGGAATTTAATTAGAGATTCCAAGTTAAAAAGGTTTCTAGCAACATGTTTTGCAAGAGGTTCAGAGTTATTTGGGCAGTCTTTGTATCACTTATTAGAAGTATTTTTGACTGCTTAGTATGCTCTGGGAGAAAAGGAGAATAGTTGTGGAATATCATCTCAGAAGGAGACTGCCACCTACTGAACTAATACATCTCTTCTGCTGGGGGCCATTAGAACTGCAAGTTATGACACATCATGAAGTTACTGCTTTTCTTAACCTTCTAGGTACATAAACATGACATCAACTGATTGAAAAACTTCTTCACTAGCAGTACAGTGACTTTCTGTCTTCCCTCTCTTGGTTAGAAATTAATTTGTGATACGAGTAAACAAAGACTACAAAACACTGCACAATATTAAGAAAACATTAAAATACATCTATTTTTAAAAGACCATGCATGTGTATGATGACTGCCAACATGATAATTTATCGCTCCTTTCTCACCAGATATCATCTGCTTCTTTATGAAACCTGAATGAGGATTGTTAGCACTTAAACATGACATAATCCCAGTTTGTATTTGTAAAACCTGTAAATTAGGAAGCCAATTGGAGGATTTCTTGTCTCCACCACAGTGCAGTCTTGCTTTTGGACACAACAATTTAATGTGCATGGCAGTCCTTACAGCTGAAATACGACTTGATTGATCAATCACTAATAACGTATCTCAGATTTTCATATATGACACTTGCCTTTGCTGTTCTGCAACAGAATCCATGCCAATAAATTCCACAGTCTTCGTTCCAATTACTACTGTATTCCCTGTGCCACACTGAACATCCTGCTTATCATTCAATCCGTACCGATCCTTCACTGCAGTAAGAAAATCTACTCCAAAATTTGCCTTGTTTGGCCGGATGAACGATCCTCCTTTAGGATGCCTAGAATAGAGCAGGAAAAGCTGAAATATAAACTGTTATCTTAACATTCACTGACTAATTAATTACTGCTTTAAACAGAAGTACTGAGAGCCAAAGCAGTCAAAGGCAATTCTACAGGCTAATTGTGAACATCACTGTTCCCAGCGAGCCAGGTAAGACTCTCAGAGTATCTTTGACAGTACTTGATAGAAGTAGTGAGATACCATGAGGACTGGAGCACCAGCTCCCTAAAATCAAAATTGCACATCAAAATTACAGTGTCAGTACCATTATTAAATATTGTGGTGGTGTTTGCAGGGGCCCCAGGACAAAGGAAGAGATGAGAATCTTGACTCCATGTTTCAGAAGGCTGAATTATTATTTTATGATATATATTATATTAAAAGAAAATTATATATTAAAACTATACTAAAAGAATAGAAGAAAAGGATTTCACCAGAAGGCTAGCAAAGGAATGTAATGAATAATAAAATTGCTGCTTACAGCCTCGACACAGGTGGCTGTCATTGGTCATCAAGTAAAAACAATTTCACATGCTAGGTAAACAGTTCTCCAAATCACATTCCAAAGTAGCAAAACATGGAGAAGCTGAAGCTTCCCAACTTCTCAGGAGAAAAGATCCTGGCAAAAGGTTTTTTCATAAAATATGTCTGTGACAAAAAATAACTGCTCTGTTATTTCCAAACTCATTATGAAGTCAGGTTCTCCAGAAAAAGAAGTTTCTACCTAAGGATAGACACAAAGCTACCTAAATCACACAATAAATGCACCCGGAGTTTTAGCAAAGCCTGAGGAATACTCAGACTAGTGATTGCTACATTGTATTTGACTTGCATAATTCACTAGTAATTCACACAAATGACACAACATACAAATGGTAGCACTCAGACCTCTTATACAAACACAAACTTTGAAAAATCCTGATACCAACTTGGTAACAATTTTGAATATTCAACAGAAATATCCAACCAATAATGCATATTTAAGTCAGTCCAGTGGAGTTTCTTGGCTTTTCTTGAGCACTGAAAAAACTTTGTTGCATTCCCGTGTCTCACCACGCAATTGCTTTGACATTTTCTAGCAAAGTTAGCGAGGAAACACAGTATCAGGGAAGAACTAGCAGAGACAAGTTATGGGAATGGTGAGGATCTGATAGGAGCATCAGCCAGAAAACATCAGGAAGAAAATTAGTAGCTATGAATATCTGTCTGCCATCAAGCTGAGAAGACAACAGGCTTTGGTAGGAAAGTACCAGGAGGAAGACATCACTTATGTAAATAAAACTTCTCAAAACAGCATGTGAGCATCAAGTGTCTAATTAGCAAATCATAATATAAACCACCAGTGCTACAAAGTTCAAAATTCTCATAGGAAAAACAGTAACTAAAGGCCCCAAATCTTACGAACCTATTACAAGTAGATGGAATAGTTTGGGCACCATGTATTCACATTTTTGTTTAAAAATCAGTGCTGGAAATTTCCTGTGCCAGTTTCATTCATTAGCCTTTCTACTCTCATTCCTTAAGAAGGACCTAGGTAGAAACTCAATAATATTTACTTTCAAAATATTTTCAGTCTAGTTTCATAATGACTATGCTTAGAGTGCAATGATTACAAAAGAAGAAGAAAGGCAAATTACTAAAGAATATAAATCTGGTATGAACTTTTCATGTTTGATAAGCATTTTCAATACATTTTTAATCCAGTAACCCTCTCTTAAGTAATTTCTTCCATTCCTTTGAAATTCTTCATAGCTTGCAAACACTTGACTGATTTAAATATTGAACTTTCTCAAGTGTAAAAATGATGTGATTCTTTCTTAATACCTCTTCTTAAAACAGTAAATTGCCTTTTTACGACCTGAACTAGAACATCTCTTGCCTCCAAATATATCACTTCTGCATTTAATTAAGTCAAACAGCTTCAAAGATGGCAGATAGTACAGGATTCTGCTTGTGGCTCTGGAAAAAATCCCTGTACTCCTGTCTATCTGTAATTCACACTAGGTCCTGCTGTAAATTTATTCTGACAACGACTATCCAATTTCCTGTCACCATGATTTTATCATCACCATCCCTCTACACTCAACAGTTCTGCTCTCCTCAACCCTCTCACCAGAGCTAATCTAGAACCTCACTTCTGCATTCCTCCTGTCATGCCATTTATCCCTGTCACAGCCAAGACCTTTGGGTTTCTCCATCACCATATCCATTCCTAAGCCCATTTCTGTCCTGTCAGGTCACCACTTCTATTGGCATCTCCTTCTTCATTTTCTGTGCAAGAACTAGTTTATCCTTAGGGGAAAAAAAAAAAAAAAAAAGAAAAAGCAGAGGAACCTAGCTAGCTACCCTGTGCCCTGTCATATAAAGCTATAGGAAAATTGAAAATTTTAGTGTATTTATCTCTCAAGACACTTCTCTTTTTGTCCTGATCAAAAGGTCATAGGTTTTCTCTCTCCTGTTGCTATCACTTCCTGTTACTCTGCACACTATTATAAGTTACCTAATGTATATTTAAATCCATTCCAAAGCCTAAGCTTCTTTCCCAGTTCCAGTCTATTTATTTGATCTACTTTTTTAGGAGCTGTCACAAAAGACAGGAAAGGAAACTGCAATAGGAACCTATTTTCAGGCAAAATTATTGTGCATTCAAGGAGAGAGGTCACTGTAACTCATTTTCCCTAAAACACACTGCCTGTGTTTTAGGGAAATGAGTTACAGTGGGGACAAATTAACTGTACAAGCTGCATGTACATATCAAATAAATAATGTACAGCACATGGACTAATGCATATACACACCTATTAGCCATCAGTCTCCATAACTGGGAATTAAAGAGATAAATCCTAATCCAAAGAGTCATCCAGCATGCATATTATGAGATGGAAGAATTTATTGATTACTGATCAACCTGACTTAAGATGAACACTCAGAAGTCTGAGAACAGAGATTTTGTTCTCATGTATGCAAATTGTCTTGCAGCCAGAACAAAACACTGTGAGGAACTAGAGTGGTAGAAGATATGGCCCAATTTCCTTAAGCAGAAAATGTGGAATATGCACAAGTGGGGCTCTGGCCAGTGGCTGGCTCTAGTTAATACTGACACTTTTAAAATAGGAAGGTTGACCCCAATCTCAGAAGTCATCTTCTAGGACACTTCCTATTCATGATTCAGTAGCCTGAAGCATACAACCCATCTGCTGGCATGCCCAGGGTGCTTCAAGGATATTCATTAAAATTTAGATTAGCTGTCAGCTTCCACTGAATAAGGAGGAAATTTGGCATCATTCTTTGCTAATGTAAAACAAAGTGATGGCACTGCTCATCATTACAGGTACATGATGGCTCTTCATATGCTAGGGAAATATCACACACACACTTCTCAGCACTGAGGAAAAATGCAGGAGTACATAAATCAGAACAGCTACACACTTGAGCTGTCTGACTGCAGAAGCTCTGAGCCACAGAGAGAGATGTCAGCTTTATCAGCCTAGGCAGTAAACATGGATCAAAGGCCTTCTTTGCCCAGCACAGTCTGTTTGCAATGATCAGCTCCAGGTAATTACCACCATGACTGCAGCAAATGCACTACAAGGCTCATAAGGTGTCATAAAGTGGAGCTGTTTGAATCCATGAATGTCTTTTCTACACAGATCTGAACAGATCTCTTCCCTCTAGGGGAAGGTGTTCAACAGACAGAACTTCTATTAGAAGAATCTACACACAGCAGTAAAGAAAATCCTTCAAGTTTTAGAAAGAGGCCATGGCACCAAACAATGCTTGTAAATGACATCTAATACTAACCTGCCATGGTGTATCAAATTCCTGACTGAACAGCAGAAGCCTTGCAAGCATGAGGAAGTACTTAAAGTTCTTGAAAGTTTACCTTAGTTAAACAGACATGAAACTTGACGCTGGTCTTTCAAAAAACAAGGAAAGACAGACAGACATCTGCAGCTTTAGATGCCATCTTGGGGTTCTGCTGGTGCACAGTACATGTTTGAGCAGTGGTTAGGGACAACCTTTTGTTTCAACACAGTTCTACTGGCAGCAAAGAGCACGAGTTTCTGATGAACAAAACTTCTTAACTGAAACCTTCTCAGGAATCTTAGGAATGCTTTCTGCCTTTGCAAAATGGAAATAATTTTTTTTTTCGTGGACACTAAAATAATATTCTTTCCTGTATGTGAAGAGTTTGTTTGTTCTCTAGGTAGATATTCCTGGAGGCGAATGTGTCATCCTTGAAGAAAAAATAGCCTAATTTAATATAAATAGATCTTTCATGGAGCAGATAATCTGGAACAAGAAGCAGATCATCATGCAACAAGAATAGGACACCAGGGGAGGAGGGTGTGCTTGTAACCCACATTTCCCAGGGGAACACATGCATGCAAATGTGTCAGTGGGTCTGTGGGACCAGAACATGTTGGAAAGCACACCCATGTTTTAAAAGCTGCATACAAATTTTAACACAGTTTTAAGGCTTGATTACTCATTTCTCTTGAAGGACTGCAGAATATAATTACATTATACACTACTGGAACTGACAGCTAAAATAGTAGCTTCCTCAGTTATTAAGAAACAAGATCCTATTATCAGGGAAAAACAACACAAAACCACCACTAGATTGTGCATTGCCACTTCTAGCTGATACTGGGCTGATGAACATGCTCATGATGTCAGCATAATTTGAAGCATGGCTGTTTTGTTCCTTGGTGTTCATATTCTTAAGAAGTTAAATTATCACCACATAATGACCCAGATAAATGTGCTGCCTTTTATGAAACATAAAAGTTGAGGTCATATTTTCAAAAAATCTACTATAGAGATCACATAGAGCTGTAAGCAGACCTACTGTTTCAAGTAAGGACTTGAAAAGAAAGAAGATTCTTTGGTAATGAGAACCTCAAAATCAGTTTTATTTTCCTCTTATGGTCTTATTTTCAAATGTCACTCTGAAAGACGTATTTTTTAAAGCAGTTATTTTCAAAATTGCCTTAATTTCAAAATGTCCTTTCACTGCATTTGTTTACAGCACAAACTGCTTGATCAGCTGCTTCTGCTTATCAGAATTCAAGGAGTGAGCAAAGTAGGCTTGTAGGCAAAGGATACTTATGATAAGGGGAAAAAATACAGCATTTTTTTTCAGATGTGTATATTCATCTACAAAGAAACATTATTCCCTCCTAATCAGTAGTAGTAAAGAGGTGATGTTTTCAGTGGTGGGAGTTTAGGTGATGTTTTCAGTTTTGTTTTGCAGCACCCTTCTGCTAAAATAAGGTAACTATTTCTTACTTAAGTTTGCCTACATTTTCCCATTTGTAGAAGAACTACAAATGTGTCTGCACACAGGAAGTTATGTCTGTGTGTCTTGGTGGGCTGCTGGAACTATGTATTTATTCTCTTAGAATCCAGCAGGACCTCTTCTGATTGGAAACTAGCAGAGCACAAACAACAGGTGTTGAAAGAACAACATGTTTGAAGACCACAACATTTACATTTGTTATGGGTATTGAGCTTCACTCAAAACATTGATTCTTACATCAAGAATCAAGGTTTCTCAGATCTCATCTCCTGGAAGCACACTAATGGCTACTAAAACCCCAAAAGTCTATACACATATGTAAAAATATCATACACACACAAATGTAAAGCAATAGAGTTTCTGAAAAAACATTCATGAAATGTTTGGTTGCTTTTTCTGTCCAGAGAGATTTGGAATGGTCAGCCAAATATTTCTATTTTTTTTTTCTCCTGCAGCAGAACATAGCTAGCTTCAGCTTGGAAACTGTTTCAAGTAAATTCAAAACATTTAGGAAGCAACTTCCACTAATATATTAATTTAAAAGACATGGTTGTGCCGAAACCACCATTTCCAATTCCTTAGCTGAAACAAAAAAATCCAGCAATGTTGGTTTCTTTCTTGTATTAAGTGTTTAGCCTCCTCAAGCCTTGTTTTATTATTATTTAAATACTAGGGATACAAGGGAAAAATATCCAGTCCTCACAGGTGGTGTTTTCTTATTTTTCTGCAGAATATATTTTGTTCTCTCATCCTTCACCACTTCTATGCTCAGGAACTTACTGAGCTAGCAGTCTCTAGCATTTAAGAGTTATTGATGACTTTCTTCTATGAACTCATCCAGTTACTATTTAACTTATAAACTTTCAGCTGTTGCATGTGTCCTGACATAGAAATCAACGACTTGCTGCAGTTAATATCCATCTTAGAGTCCTGTATTCCACAATTTCAAACATGTTAAGTGCTCAAACCCTTTCACTTAAAAGTAATGCCTGCATATATTTAAAAACCCCACACAGCTGCACTATGTTTTGCATCTACTAAATCCAATGAATATATTTACAATTCCTTAGTGATACAAATATAACCCAAATCATTAACAGGAACTTGGCATTTTCCCTTAACAAGATATATGCAAGTCAGCTTAAATTCAAATACAAACAGTATTTGAGACACTTACTATGCACCAATATTTCAGTTCAGAATTACTTAATGAAAGTCACCAGGAAATACTGATTTCCTAACTAAAGTAAAAGATCTAAAACCTACTAAGAATAATAATAACATCCAAAAGTCTCATTTTTATAACATACCTCTGAAAACATGACTTGTATTTTCTAAATATTTACTATAACCTAATACTTGTAACTGGATAAATATCAGTGCTGGAGCCTCTATGGGTTAGCTGGTCAGAGCACTCAGAATTATGATCTTTTTAATATTGGCCAACTGATAACAGAAGGGTTTGCCCTAAAAACTGCCAAAGGGCCTTTTCCCATGAGCACCTCATCACCACACATGGCATGCCAATGCTGTGAACCGACTCACCTGCATGTAAAATACTGTGTTCCTTCATAGCTGCCATCATGCTTTCCCCTCTCCGGATCATCCCATTCCACGCCCAGCCAAATTCCTGAAAAAAATGGTTGATACTTTTTCAAATTTACAGCACCATATCCACAGATATCACAGCTGGAAAGAACCTCTGCAGTTCACTCAGCCTAACCTTCGCTCTCAAAGCAGGAGATTATCACCAACACCAAAAAAGTCAGTCAGGTAATTTGTTACCTAGCCAGACCCCGAAAATTTCCAAGGAGAGAAAGATTGCAACCCATCTGGTGAGCATATTCCAGTGCTGCATTGTAGTGTAGCAAGGTAATGGGAAAGGCTTTTCTGCTGTGGCCATTATCCTTTACTGTATAATCTAGTACTTGTAAGAAGAGTTTGGCTCTGCCACCTTTGTACCCAGCTGTCAAACAGCTGCAGGAAGCCATTGGATGGCGCTTTTTCTTCTCTTCACCACATTACCCAAGCCCAGATCCCTCAACCTCTTCACAACACATGTGTATGGTCAGTGCCCTTCACCACCCTGGTAGCCTTCCAAGACTCCTCAAGAGAGGAGACCTTTGAGGAGTTTGTCTGCATCCCTCTGGAACTGGAATAGCTCCACAGCAGACACATTATTCCAAGGGAAATCTTGTCAAGAACCCCATTCCCAGAGAGGGATAAGAGCTTCCTTTAACTTGCAGGCCATGCTCATCACTTCCCTCTAAGGTAACCCAGTACAACATGTATCTCTGCTTGTTACAGGGGTCACTGCTGGCTCATAGTCATAACAGTATCCAACCTAACTCCCAAGCCCTTTGCAACAGACTGTCTGAGTCACCAATACTTTCCATACTACATGCAGAAATTTATCCTCCTTGAATCTCTTGGGTTCAAACCTCAAGTTCATAAACATTGACCTGGACTGCAATTCTACCTTGTATCACAGCAGCCATTTGAGGGTGAACACTGTTCATCACCCAAATCACTGAGGAATACATGAAACAATACACACCCCAGAGTTTACTTTGGGAGTACTCACTCATTACAGATATCAAGTCTTTAATTACTTTTTCACTTGACAGCTTTCAAATAATTTAACAGTCCATTAACCTTGTATTTCTTCAGCTTCCAAATAAAATTCATTACAAAGACATTATTCAAAGACTTACTGAAGTCAAGGAATATTGACTTGTTCTCCCTTCATCCACATTCACAGTCATATCATTGTAGAGAGTAATTACATTTACCAAGCACAATTTCTTCTTATTTACAAGTACCAAATACTCCCAACTACCATCTTGTCCTTCACAGGCTTGGAAGTGGATTCCAAGGAAACATGCTATGTCACCTTTCCCAAAACTGAAGTGAGGCTAATGAGTCTAAATTTCCTAGTCATCCTTCTTGCCTCTTCTAGAACTGTATGCAAGGCTGGTCTTCTTCCAAGCATGAGGAATCTTCCCATAAATTTGAACATCTATAGTGGGTTGGCCCAGGCTAGATACCAGATGCCCACCCAAAGCCACTCTGTCACTCCCCTCCTCAGCTGAGCAGGGGAGAAAAAATACAAGAAGACACTCATGAGCTGAGATTAGGACAGGGAGAGATCACCCACTGTTTACTGTCATGGGCAAAACATGACTTGGGAAAAGCAATTGAATTTATTGTCAACCAGAATCAGAGTAGCCTAATGAGAAGTAAAACAAATCTTAAAAATACCCCCACCTCAGCTCTCCCTCTTTCCTGGGCTCTACCTCCTCCCCTGAGAGGTACAGAGAGGTGGAGAATGGGGGCTACAGTCAGTTCATCACACCTTATTTCTGCCGCTTCCTTTTCAAAGAGGGTGGTCCTTCCCCTGCTCCAGTGCAGGTGCCTCCCATAGAAGACAGTCCTCCATGGAGTGGTCCAACATAACAACTCCCTACAGGCTACAGCATGCTTCCTTTGGAACTGCTCCAGTGTGGAACTCTTAGTCCTTCAGGAAAAGGCTACTCCAGGACACAAGATCTACCAGGAAACCTACTCCAGCAGGGCTCATCTCTCAGGTCTACCAGGAGACTGCTCCGGTGTGGTCACCACTTCCTTTCAGGCATCCACCTGTGTGTGCCTCCTCCATGGGCAGCAGGTGGATCTCTGAACCCCTGCTGACCCCCTGGGCTGCCAGGAAACAGCGTGTGTGTCTCAGTAGATCTGCAGGGGAATCTCATCTCCAGAGTGCGGAGTACGTCTTTCCCCTCCTTCTTCACGGACCCTTGTGTCTGCAGGGCTGTTCCTCACACACATTCTCACTCAGCTCTTCTCTGGCCACAGCTACCTTCGTGCAAAGAGTCTCTTTTCCTTCCCCTTCTTAAAGAAGGTTTCACCGAGGTGCAACTACTATTACTCATGGGCTCAGCCTTGGCCAGTGGCAGGCCCACCCTGGAGCCGGCTGGCAGCGGCTCTGTAGGACATGGAGAAAGCTTCTGGCAGCTTCTCTGGTGGCAGATGCCACCCCTGTAGCCCCTGCCACTCCCAGAGCCTTGACACACAAACCCAACACAATATGTTATCACCTGGTCTGGAGATCTACCTCTTACCTTCCCTGACTGTCTGCACAGAGATCAGGGAAAAGACTGTGAAGTTCTTCTTACACTCCTTTTGACAACTCTGACTTCTTTAAAGAAAAAAACCTAAAAACCTCACACAGATTAGAAGTCACCACATTTACATAAGAACAATGAGGAAAATCAAGGTGTAAATTACCTCGTTTTCTCGACGCCGTTGGTTTTTTTTAATGAAAAACAACATGAGTAGAACCATGAGAACAGCCATAAAACGTGAAGATTATTACTTGTGTGGCGCTTACCTGCAGTAGGAGACACGCTGCCGACATAGCGTACAGTCCCGTAGTCGGTGCCACAGGCGACCCGCCGACCCAGCGCATCGGGCGGCAGCCCCGCAGCCATCCCGGGGCCGCGGGAACCGGGCTGCTCCCGGACCTGCACGCACAGGAGCAACGCCCTTAACACACGCGCAAGCCGCTACTCTCACAACGCCCCTACTTTGAGCTGCTCTTTTGCCGCCCGGCGCCACCCCGTGCCGCTCCTCGTTCCCGGAGCCGAGCCGGCTCCTGTGGGCCGCCCTCAGCCCCCGCCCCACACGCGCGGGGCCGCGGCCGCCGCTCAGGCACCGCTGGGGCCGCTCCGCTGCCGCACTTCCGCCCCGCGCCGCGCGGCGCCCGCCGCCCCGCCCCTCCCGGCTCTCGGAGCGCTCCGATTGGCCGCGAGCTCTGGCGTAGCCCTGCCCTGGTCCGCTATTGGCCCGCCCCGCCTTCCACTCTGCTCGAGACACCGCCTTCAGGGGCAAATCGGCCCGGGGCGTCGCCGCCGTGGAGCTTTCTGGGTAATGGTGTTCACCGAGGTGGCTCCGCCGCGCGGACTAGTGGGCCCTGGACTACAGCTCCCAGCATGCCGCGGAGTGAGAGGCGGGTGCTCTGATTGGGCGAGCGGGGCCTGCGGGGCCGTGCCGGGTGTCCCGCCCGTCCTCGGGAATTGCGCCTCCCGGGGAATGGCCGCAGAGTTGCGGCGGGCGGTGAGGAGAGAGGAAAGGGGGCCCGGGGAAGCGCTGTTGTGCTGTAAAGCAGCACGGCGTGGGCAAAGCCCTGCGGCACCGGTGAACCGACACTGAGCAGGAGATGGTTCCGAGTCCGTAGTTCAAGGCTGGGGCGTTCTCCTGGGAGCAGCGGCTGAGGAGAACGCGGGCGGCTCGGCGAGCAGCAGAGCTCCCCCGCAGCACCCCCGGCCAGGCGGACTCCCACACGCTTGTATTCCTCTGTACGCTGCTACATTTGCTGCTGCATGTAGTTCAACATTCAGTATTTGGGGGAAATATCCCGGGGGGGATCCAGGAAAATCGAAATGTCCACTATGCGTAAGATTAACAGCAAAAAATGAAAGACCTGAGCGTGTTCTAGTACCAGTCGGTGAGGAACAGAAATTGAGTAAGAGCTCTTCAGTTTAACAGGAATAGGTATGGCAAGATCTAAGGGCTGTGTTTATCAAAATCAAAGTATCCTAATTGATGTTTTTCACCTTTTTAAATCTCTTGGTTTCATAGTTCAGTGTCTCATAACAGCTGAATGCAAACAATATCATTTGAATGTTGGCACCACCAAGACTGGAGCAGTAATGACAGTAAATAATCAACATCAGCTCTTTCAGTCCTGCAGCTCCATTACATGAAATCTGTCCCTTTGGCAGGCAGAATATTAGTACTCTTTACTCTGAGGCTGTGATACTAACTACAGAAACGAGATATGGGTATTTGGTAACACTAGTATATTCCAATCAAAACAATCTGGATAATGTGTATATTCTTTAGCATGCTGATAGCTTGCATCTTCAATTAACAGGCTTTGAGGGTGCACTTTACTCTCTTGCACAAAGGGGACAGCTCAGCAAAGAACTCTGTGCCTTTATTTCATAGTTCTCCCTTGCCATAGGTAGTGTGTTATTTCAGGCCAACTAACAGAATTGGGGAATAGATACCCTAGTCGTTCTTCCCCATTTTGGTGGGGCTGCTGTCTCATCTGGGTTCCTAAGCCCATTCATCTCCCACAGAGGGCACTCTTGGAACGATCTATTCAAGTTTCAAGCCATGTAGCTGAAGGTACATGGAAGTGGTACAAGTGACAGCAGTGAGGCCTCTTGCTCTCCTTTTGACTCCCACACTGTTCCCAAGGTCAAAGCTGAGAGCATCCTCCACTTTGTGTACTGCCTGTCAGGAAAGGCACTGAAAACAAGGAAATACTTCTTTTGCTCCTTCTGACCCCAGCTGCCCTTGTTTTATCCCTAGTTTGACAGGTGATGCAGCCATTCTCACAATCTACATGCATGTTGTCAAATTTATTTCTAAAATGATAATGAGAATAGCAAAACTTACTGCTTGTTCTTTCTGTTTCTTTGTACTTCTTGTTTTGGTGTTGCAATCAACAAACAACCATAGCTCGTGATCTGCTTGACAAGGAACAGGACAGTCCCAATGCAATGAAACTAGACCAATTTAACATTCTCACATCATTACCTCAAATTACAACTTCGGCATTTTATAAACACTTAAGTAAAAATGGATTTAGCTTCTGAATTTAGTGAACATTCAGGCTGGTTGGTGTAAAAGGTAAGAGATTAGGTTTATAGTACAGGTTTTACACTTCTCTGAGTAGCAATGACAATTCCTCTGTATGGCTTTTACTTTGACCTGTACATTCCATCCCACCCCAAAAGAAAGCAGTTAGCTATAGGTTCTTCAGTCAAAACCACAGAAAAACTGTTTGAGTTAGTTCCATGCTTCATATAGTAGCTCTACAACTATAGGAAATTCCACTTTTAAAGAACTTTGGGGTTTTTTCCCTTGCAAACCTGTTTTCCCCTCCAATCTGTTCACACAGGCTTGGTGTCAGCCTGGTTTTAGTAACTCCAGTCAGTGAAAGGTTATGCCTCCCTCAGCCAACAGAAGTTCTCTGTAGAGTAACACAGATCACAAGAGAATAAAAGAGGTTTTATGTATTTCAAAATACATAAACAAAATGTATGCATTTGCCATTCTAGAGACTTCAGTAATTACTGAGTGATTAAGTAGCTTACACTGTATGCTCTAGAAATAGCAACTGCAGCATTATGAAGAGAGTGAAAATGACCTACTGTGTGCAAGAGATGATGCAGCTGCTTAACTGTCAGCATGTAATCCATATAGCAATGAGTAGAGCATTTTTCCAGGAGCTCAAAAGCAGATAATTATCTATGATTTCCCTTCACCTCAGAGTTAGTGTTCTACACAAATTCATGTCAGGTTGTGCAGTGCTTTCCCTGCAAGTGTCACGTTAGGCCTTCTTGGTGTATCTGCCATGGTTCTCTATGCTGTGCTAAACAGATAATCAGTAAATACCTTTTCAGTAGGTTAACTGAGAATGTACTCGTTCCATAGGGTACGCAGGTGAGGAACACTACCAGGGTTAATGTGGTTTAACCTGCATCTTCATTAGAAGTTTTGCAGATTATATGCTTGAAGTGAGTTAATGAATCATGGATTATTCCTAGCCACACCTCAACAAGCTGCATCTGAAGTAATTTTAAAATAAGTGCTGCAAAAAAGGTTGAATGCTGATGCTCAGCTGTGATAAAACTTTTTCAGGAAGGGTGTTAGTGTGAGGTAGCAATCAACTCAAATAGGCACATGGCAGATTATGTTTCCCTGACTTCAAGAACAGAAAAATAGTTAAGAGAAGGAAAAATAAAACAGAGTACATTGTTTCATTACTTTATCTGTACCTTTAATAAAATCTTTAGATGATATATGCAAGTTACATAAATAATTGTCAGAATAAATAATTTTTAACTTAAGTATCTCTCACAGTCTATTTGGGATGCTCAGGGAAACTAACCACACACTTTAGCTTTTCCTAACTAAGCCAAATAAATTCTGTAAAGAAGGCAAAATTACATGAGGCAGCCTTAGGAGACCAAAATGAGTTTTCTTATTCTGAAATCCTTTCCTTGGCCTTTGTCCACCTGCCAGCTCTGGCATTCATCAGGCTCTTGCTGAGTGGGATAATTCATTAACCTGGACAAAAATTAACTTCCCTGTCTCAGGGCTAGTGAGTTAAGTTCATTCATAAAAAGACCTAACAGGCATTACCACCAAAGCAAAATGGATCTTGAAAGCAAACAGGTAGGGCGAGGAAAGTAGCTCAATCTACATGAGACAAAAATAATTTATGGTCATCTAAGATGTTACAGGCTCCAGCTTCCTGGAAAAAAGTTTCAGGCATTTCAAGGTTGCAGAAAATCTTGGATCAATCTTGGATTACTTTTGTGAAGACAAATTATGAGCCAAGATTCAACATTTCAAAAGCAGACCCAGACTAGTATGTTTGTCCAGGATCAAAACCAAGTTTGATGGTATTATGTGTGCTTGGTATTAACAGCAAAATAGAAATATAGCTGAAAGAAGAATTACAGTGGGCAAATAATACAAAGAGCATAGTAAATACCAAACCTGAAATGTAAAATGATGAAGATGAGACAAAGAAGAGCAACAGATGCCCACATGGCTCTTGCACATGAATAAAAGCCTGGTGCAATTCAGTGGTAAAGGCATATTAAAGTTCAAACCAATTTTTACATTAGAAATGCAAACCATCTCACAAACCCCACATTTTTATACCTTACTAGCATTTTAACAATAATTGAGGAAAACAGAAATTAATATAGGAAATTTCCATAGCACATGCAGCCAGATTAGCAAAATTAACAAAAAAGCAGAAACAAAGAACAGCCAACAGTTTTTTTCCCATTAACATTTCTATGTTGTTTATATCAAGAACTGGCTGATACATACAAAGTTGCTCTGAGTGGGTACCTGAACAGCCTGAGTTCAAAAGGAGAGGAGAAAGCTATCTTCTCAGGAAGGTCTTGAAATCATGTAATTTTCATCATAATTGATGGGGTATATGTATAAACATAAGCCTATGAAAAGCAAAACCAATGTCCCATCCAACGGCTGGCTACTCTAAGACAGATGACAGTACTCATTTACATCCAAGCAAGCACAAAATCTTGAAAACAGACTGAGGTAGTGGGGAATGCTCCAGATTGATGAGTATTTGCATTTCTCTTAATATGAACTGCAAGAACTAAATCCCCAGGAAATGCACTGATAACCTGATCAAAGTGCAGCTTGCTGGCAATAGTAGGAACATAAGGGGAATGATTCTGGCTCAAAGGGACTGACATTGAAACCAGCATCCCCCTTGTTTCCCCGTGGGCATCTCCACTTGCAACTTGGACTGCCATTCTACAACAGTGCATATTTTATGAAGATCAGGAAAAATCCCTACTCCCTCTGTTGTGGGAGGTATAGCAACAGAGGGGCACTCACACAACTAATTGTGCAGTCACAAGAACTCCCATGCTGCTTTAAAGAAGGGTTTTTCTTAACACTGCTTAACCTCAGGAGCATCATTTAATAGTGATAACATTGTTAAGTTAACACTAAACCAGTGATAACCTTGGAGGATGTCGATGAAAATGCACACACTGATCTTATGGCACCAAAAATAAAATCTACCTTGACTAAGGGACATCATTACTACTGGCATTTAGTACTTAAAGATGCTCTACCAGCTTAACAGCTGAAGGGGAAATATCCCAGCCTCTTCTGACTCCTGAATACATCAAGAACAGCTCTCACAATTCTGTTTATCCTAACCTAAGTGAAGAGCAACAATGTGGGCCTTTCCAGATATGCCTTCAGCACGTGCTTTGAATGCTGCCATCAAACGCCTTGAAGGCAGAAGAGGGAGCTGCATGGTCTCTTGTAACCTGGGAAAAGAAAGCTGGACCAACTGTTCCCTTCTTACCCATTTGTGGTTTAAATGGTCTGCAACTGGAAAACATCCATGTACCTACTCCTAATGATGGCACGTGCCACAAGACATAGAATTAAAATAAATACTGGGGTGAATTTCCAGAATGAAAAAAAAGGAGCAATGACATAGCAGAAATCTCAGATGGTAGAAAAGCTTTATACAAACAGTAAGAAAAGCTACTTCATTATGGAAGTCTGATTGTACAGAACTGTTTACATCCAGCGACAGAACAGAAATGAAATGGCACTAAGTGCACTTTGCATTGTGTTGCAGTTACAATATCCTAACAGGCACAAGGATACATTTCACAGTAAGACTAGGAGATTCTCCTGACAACAATAATCTTTTCAATGCTTTCCCCTATTCAACATTAACTGCAACAGTGCTTAGAAACTTCCAAGACATGGCACAAAATAAATGTAATTTGCTGCAGATAGTATTTTCACATAACACATTAAAAACTTACAGGCTTACTAAGCGCTGCAAGTTATGAAAAAGGAATAACAATTCTCTTTGATTAACATTAAAGACACCTTTCACCAACTTTAAGCTATTCAGTTCTCACAACCAATTCCATTCAGTGAAAAGCCTATTATTCAGTGTCTAATCAAAGATTTCTCCTCAGCATGCAGATAAAAGGGACAGGCTATCATCCATAACTACATAATATTTCAGCCTGAAAATAGTCATCCCCAATTTTGCCATGTTTGATCACTTTCAGAAAGATATTAAGGCTGCCCAGGGAAGACATTACAGCAACCTTCTTCAGTTAGTTTTCTCAGTGAGCCAAGATCATAGCTCTCCCTGTTTTCCAGGTGCAGTAAATGAACACCTGCATAAAACTATCCTTTAGCCATCAGAAGCCAAGCACCTCTGTCCATTTCAGAGTATGCTTGAGCTAACACCACAGCTTATAGCACCAGTCCTACCTTTGATCCAAACCATTACCTTGCTACCCCAAGGCAAAGCTTAATATACCTGTGAATACTAAGGGAACTGAACCTGATTAAAGCCAGCCCAGGGAAGAAAAAAACCCAAACATCTCTGCTAACATTTTATTAACATTTATATATATTTATACTTTATATATATCTCTGAGCAGAGAACTTTGTTACTTATCAGTCCTACCCCTAAATCTTGCTCTCAGTCCCAGTTCTATTTTGGTATGTCTATAATTTTAAAGCTCTATTTAAGCAATTAACAAAACTGAAGCGGTATTGTAGCTTGTAAAACAAGATACTGTACTTTGTTTTAAGAAAAAAATTACAGCTCTTGTCTCTTTGGAGAGATACTGAACATGCCTCCAGACAGCAATTCAGGATAGGAATGAAATATGAATTATGAATAAAGTCTTGGAGAAGCCCCTCAATTATAAGCAGAGATTAAAGAGACCAGCGCCAATTACAGTGTCCTAAAGTTACCTGGTATGAATCCCTTTCCATTTCTAATAGCAGCTCATTATGTTGCTATTTGCAGTTACATATATGAGCTCTAATGCATAGATTTAAGTTTCTGGCTACAGAATGTTTGACAATTTCAAAATCTAAAACCAGGTGAGCAAAATTACTCACTACAGAGCTGGAATCAGTAGCAAATTTACACTTCATTGATGTGATGAAATCTTTTCTCTAAGGTACGGCAAAATCTTTATCAAGTCACAATTTCAGACTGAGCATGTCTTATTTGCATATGAAATAGTATCTTTCATAATTCACATTCCCCTGAAAATATCCACAGAAGCTGGATAGGATATTCACTCTAGGACATAGTAAACTGCTCCCCCTGATCTTCACAAGTCAAACTTAGAAATATCACACAATTTTATGTGAATTGTAGTTGAAGTGCCGTCTTTTTTTTTAACACAAATTTTGGTTTACAAGAGCATTGTTTAAAATGCATAATATACACATGTCAACCTGATTTAATTTAACACAGAATTTCAACCAAAATCCTTTCATAGCCTGGTTAGGGGCATGAGAATTTTAGGTATGAAATAATGCCTGTGATTCTGTCAAGACTATTACCCTTAGGTTCAAAACATGTTTTAGTTCTAATACATCTGCTTTAACAAAGTCAACTGTAAGCAGTTACAGTTAAGACTTTAGAGATAATAAGGTATATACATTTCAAAACTCAATGACTAGTTATTTTTAACAGTAATTTCTGTAAGATGGCTACAAGAAGAAGTTTTACATAAGACTGATTATCACAACCCTCCATCTGGTTATTCTCCCGTTTTCAAAAGACAGAAGTCAATTTCTTAATTTTCAGTTTCTCTGAACATTTTGCTCAGCTGTTGAACTAGTGCAACAAGCTCAGGGTTTCCCCCAAGTGATTCAATTTGCTTATAGGCTTCAGATTCAAGCTGTTTCAATGTATTCCGAGTGTACTCAAAGGAACCAACATTTTCAAGATAATGTACACAGTATTTTTTTATGTCTATGTTCTCTGTCCTTTGACGTAAAATGTTTTGCACCTGAGTACTTTCAGGTCTCGACCAAATTGCATGAATGGTTGGGAATGAGAACTTGCCCTCAGTTAAGTCTTCACAAAAACTCTTGTTCTCGCTATATTCTTTGGAGTGCAAGTTGGCATAGTCATCTCTGATTTGGAAGAAGAGACCAAGTGTGTTAAGGAGTGGCTTTAGGTCCTTTTTATAATTTGAGAAGAGCTGCATGAGACCTACAGCTAATCCGAAGAGCCCGCCTGTCTTTTGCAGTACCATGGCTTTATACTCAGCCTCTGTAGGACAGGTGTACGTGTCCCTCCAGTAAATATCCAAGCCTTGACCTTTATGGAGTTCCAGAAGTTGACGAGTAAAAACTTTAACAGCATCTGGATGATCAAGGGTTAAAACCTTCTCTAAGCCAAGAAAATAAACATAATTAGCACAGTTGATTACAGATGGAATTCCATAGATACTGTGTGCCACTGGAAAGCCCCGTCGTAGCTTTGAGTTATCTTCAATATCATCCACAAGGAGGCTTGCATTGTGCAACATCTCTGTCACTTCAATGATAACCTATGACAAGAAAAGACAAGTGTTAAGTCTCTCATTGTAATTTAACCATGATTTTTGCAAGACTATACTTAAAATGGATAATGTTTAAAATAACTATATTCTCTATCACTGAGGTTCCTCTTCAGGCAACTTGCCTTTACTGTTAGTACAGATTTATGCTTCTCTTCACCATCCAGTTTGCTCTAAGCCCTGGATCACATAGTCTTATGTGTAATGTTTTCAGATTCAAAGTTACTCCCTGAAATGCTTCCACTTGCATGATCTTCACTGTTGCTACAGTTCTAAAAGAAACCATTGGCTAGGAGTCATGGAATAGCTGTTATTAGAAACATGACTAGGGGAAAATAAAATAAACAGTGTTTTTAAATGTTTAGATTTACAAACCTGAAATCTCCCAAAGTCAGTTCTTGAGAGTGTCGGGTATCATCCATTATCACATTTCTCTTGTGAACCATGTTTTGATAAGTGGAGAGTTCATGTTTCTTTTCCCACACTTTGTGTGGTTATATTCAGTACTGAGCTCTTAAAGGACAGACTATTCCCTCTGAAACATCATTTGGAAAATTCTTGGCAGAAAGACAACAGCCACAATTTCTTCCGAGAAGCTTCCTACACTCTGCTTGTTACTAGGTAGACCAGTATCACACAGCACCTGAGGTGTGCAATAAACTGTTCACAACATTAGGCTTGTAGCTGACTACATTTGAGTAGAACAGAACCTGAACAACTCATCAAAAAATGAAGAGCTTTAACAGTATATGCTGCTTTTATTCCACAGCTGCCACACAAGCAACGGGTATATTCAGCACCTGCTTAAATGGAAATAAATTTAAGCACACAAAACTGCACACTGTATAAACTCATGGCAAAACACATCTGATTAAGATATGATTTTAGAGCTAATGAACCAATTATACTTCTTAGCTACAAACATTGCATTCAGTCAAAATTCATCAAAACAACTGTTAAAAACACTAAGACCACCATAAAATGGCAGCAAATATCCAGTATGGTCCTGTTTGGCAAGTGCTGTAGGACAAAATAAAGACTTTGCTGTAAGCATTTTCTCGAGCACCAAGCCACCTGGTGTTCAGTGAACATTGTCCCAAAGATTAAAACTCACACCCCAGGAATTTAATCCCTTTCCCAAGATACAACTGCAAGAACAGCCTATTTAAACACTCATGAAATCAAAGGATAGAGTACTTACTGAAGGCAACTTTACACACCTATTTGTTTGAATATACTTTTGGTCCATTATCTCATTGTCAGTACTATCAGGAACATTTCCCTGTGTTCTGTGAGTTCACTGGATAAGCCTACTCTAGTATTTCTCTTGCTGACCTATTTCATATCACGGGCAGTTTCACGACCTCTTGCAGCTTCCATAGGTAAGGTTTAAAGGAAACAGTGTTTCCTGACTCTGTTTCTATCAAATTACCTTGTGAGCTTAAGATAGTGCCAAAAGTGCTTCCAAGGTGAAGGAAAGGTGTGAAACACTTCAGATATCAGAAAAAGATTATTTTAGAAGACATCAGGAAGTAGCCTGAGGAAATGAAAAGACTGGTCTCCATAATGAAAGCTGAAGACCCAGCAGAGAGTGCTATGTTTTCTTACAACCTACACCTATATAATCAGTATCTGCTGCACTATCAGTCCAACACTCAGGTTTCTTCCATCTCCTTATTTGCAACAACTTTAGAACTTGCTTGACTCTTGCTAGGCCATTTCAGTGCCTTTTCAGGGAGAAGTTCACCTGACAAACCCAGTGTTCTCTAATTCGAGAAGTTGAAGTGTTTCAGTGCAGCACCAAAAGGAATTCAGTAAGTGTTGGGAGAAAAGATCACTTGGTTGGGGCAAAAAGTGAAACAGTGGCAGTTAACAGTAAAATAAACTACCAAGGAACCTCAATTGTAGTAGCCTCAATGGTATAATCTAAATAAACTACACAAAGACAAATAATCTAAGGTAAGAAAAAAGCCCCAGAAAGAACACCAGAATTCAAACTTTTAGTAAAGGAAATACAAATAGCTGGAAATTAATCAGGCTGTGAGACACAAGGGACATCTTATGGAGATCATGAGAGAGGTCAAAAAGATGACCAGAGGTGGTCCTCCAGACTTCAACCATCCTTAGTTAAAATGCACAGAAGCTGCAATAATTGCATCATTATGAAGACTAAAAGATGACAGGGTCTTGTTTTTTCCTGCCACTACAACCAACTTAAGTAGTAAAGGAGACATTAAAGCATTGGTTTTCTTCATAAAGACAATCAAAACAAGTGGTCCAAGTTTTCAAGCAGTTACATGATCATCAGTTTGAAGTGACAGAACTGGTAACTTCTGTTCACACAGAGGCACTGCAGCTTCAGTTTATTATTAGCACTAAACAAAAATGGACCACAATGTCATGGGTGCCCAGCAAAAGAGCAGGAAGCAACAGTCAGATTGCGACACAAAAACCTGCTAGTTGAATAGAATGGAAGGTTTTGTTATAATGAGAGGGGGTCAGCATGAGAAGACAGGCCTCGGGAAGCTGCAGAAACCCCATCACCAGATTTTCAAAACTCAACTGGGCTCCAGAAGCCATAAGTAGCTACAGAGCAAGCTCTGCTTTAAGTACAGGGTTGTCCTAGATAACTTCCAGAGGCTTCTTCCAATCTGAATTCTGATCTGTGATATTAGATTAAACCCATACATGCAATACACAGGTTGCTATATTATTTGTTTTATTTGGATGTTTGTCTGAGCACAAGGGTAAGATGTGTCTAGCTGAAAGACAGAATAAATTTTGCTAGACAGTTACACAAATAGGCTGAAAAATGGAAGAGTTCCTAGATTATGAAATGCAGCCTCTTAAACCACTCAAATCACTTTGCTGCTTGAGAGCTATGAAGTGTCACTTTTAAGCCACCCTAAAAATTACTCCGTCACAAATGCTAAAGAATACTTCTGCCTACAATTAATGAAATTAAAGGATCAGCTGGGTGTCAAAAACCACAACCAATTATATCAATTCCTTATATTGCTTTGGACAGAAAATATTTTGCACACTTCGTAGCAGTTTAACAAAACTGCAGTCTAACCTAAAAAGGCAGATAACATTTAATTTGAAAAGCCACAGTGTTTAAATACACAGCCACAGCCATGCATCTTGCACACTTTGTCCAAGAGAAAAGACAATGAGAATTCCTAGACAATCCTTCCCATTAGAAAGCAAGGACTGCAGACTAAATGATACATCCCTCTCAGTTTTAGGTTTTTAAAGTTGATTTAATTGCTGCCTTCGATATTCTTGTATCAAAATATCAAGATTTTATTTTCAAACACTATATTTGTGAAGTCTACCAGGTAGTTGTCTAGCTTGTTTTGTAAGTTATTAAAAACTCAGTGTTAAAAACTGAGTTAAGTGGGTAACAATGATAGCTACTTATCTACAACTTCAAAGGTTGAACACTTGGATGGAAGTAACTATTCCAGTAAGACATGGAAATAATTTCTTTAGTGTTGCATCACAGTAAAAGCTTTGCATTGAAGTTGTTTTCCTGAAAGTTCACTTCATATTCAGAAATTAGTGCATTTAAGACTTCTGATAATTTATGCTATGCAAGAGAATAATCTGTTACCAATGGTCTTGGAAGGAAAAAAAATAAAAAAAGAATTTAAAAATAATTAGGCAGTACCTGTATTTTATCTTCCGGAACATTCAGCCAGTGATTAAAGGCCTGTGACAGTTTGGTTCTCACTTGCTTACCTACAATAAAAATATTATAGGCATTTATAAAAATAATAGAGTTCATAATTAGGCACAACAGTTTGTCTTAGCAACTAGAGCTGATTCGAGACCCAATTAAAAAACTCATCAGTGTGACGACACAAAAGTGGAAAATACATCAGTGCATGGCTTGTTTCCTCATTCAATAAACATCAAGTAGCAGCAGTTTCAGTTTTAAACACTTCTCAGGAATATTTAAAGCACCTATTTACAGGTTACTATATTTAGTTTTCACAATTTAATTAGTAAGGGATCCTGACCATGTTGGTAGCTTGTACAGATCAGCTAGTTTGCAGGGCATGTTAATTTTAAGATTAAAAAGTTTCAATTATGATTCATTCTTAGTTGAAAGTATAGGTATTTGTTGAATAGCTATTTCTGTCAATTTTTAGGTCTTTCTCCTGTAGTATTATTCTTTACTTGTTACTGTAAATTTGTAAGACAGGAAAGTGACATTTCATATACTTACTAAATAACACTAAGAAATCTGAACAGAACATTCTGAACAGAATAAAACTCTCCAAGAATTCAGATATTTATCTTATACCCGGGAAATCTACCTACAAATAGGATTTGGTCTGCTTTGGTAAAATCTACTTTGTTGGAGCCAGGCAGTCATCTTGTTTCATAGCAATTAAAGATAACATCAAATGACCAAGTTTAGTATTAAATCATGTTGTTTTGTTCAATCCAGATACTTTCTACATGACAGAGTGAATTTCAATAGAAGCTAACTGCATGCCTATGCATTACTGATGTCTATTTTTTTAGTAATTTGCTGGTTTTCATGTACAAATATCTATTCAGCATCTAGTCATGTTCAATATGAAATAAAGGTATCCCCGATCCACACTGAGACAATTCTGCTCTGAACTTTGAGAAGCTCAGCTATGTATAATATCTTGGAATAACTGCAAGATAGGTTTACACAAACAGCTTTGTATATTTGTATATATAGCTCACATAAACAAGCATTTGGAAAAAGCTTTAAATAAACTTCAAAGCAAGTGCAACATAGACACCTATGGAACCCGTATTACTTGACTCAAGATGTACTGAGACATCACTGAGATATTCTGCAATACTAGTCCTCCTGTTGATAATTCCATCTTGCCCATAGCACCAAAGAAATGTCAACATTTGAATCTCTCCCTAAGGCTTCTCTGTGACTCTGTAGCCAGAGTATACAGAACAGAATAATAAGTACGGGTAAATTCACTTGCAGTGATAGACCCTGGAGAAACTGGACTGAAAATTTTCCCCCTCCTAATTAAGCCCCCATCAGGTAAGGAATAGCTTTGTGTGTTGGGCTCCGTAGCAAGGGTGATAACCTTCCTCCCTGGATCAGAAGTCTGCACTTTTTGTCTCAGTTCTCAATGATTTCCACAGCTTCCTGTCACCACCATCTTCTGGTTCTCACTAGACAAGATTAACAAAATGGTCCTTTTTGTCCCCAGGATCTCTGTCCTCTGTTTCTGCCACATGTGAACAGGCATTCTTACCTGGACATACACTGCCATTGGCTTGTTTTCTCCATTTTTGTTGTCTGTGCTTGGTTTTAAACACTAACAGTTTTCTGCAGAACAGAAGGATTGTTTTGTCTCCCCTTGAGAATAACTGTTATAAATATTTGCCAAACTGTATGGCTTACCAGTTAAGGATTAACAAGTATGTCAACCACATTCATAACAAAAATCAGTCAGAGAATATCACATTAAGGAACTGTACCTAATCTATACCTTATCTATAGCTGTTTATTCTCTTCTAAATTACTTGGATACAGACAACACCTGCTTTTTCTTTTTATACTAGGCAGCCAATCCTGTTTTTCTGAATGTGTTTCCTAGAAAACACACTTAAAGAATGCTGGATGTTCAGCAACAAGCATTATTTCATCATGAGGAACTTGACTACTAGCACACACTCTAAATGGATTATAACATGCACAAAGGATTAAGTCACTTTAGTTCCTTGGTCCAGGCAGCATTTGAATTGTTAGACTTGTCTACCCTGAGTAGCAAGGTTTCCTAGACACCGACTACCCAAGGAAAAAAACACTACCTGTATAGTGAGACATCTATTTTTCCTTTTGTAGATGCAGATTTGCTTGTCTTCTAAAGGAACATTATGGCTACATAAATGCTATTTTATCTGATTCTGAAGTCGCTCTTACCTGGTCTATGCAATAGTACAGCAATTTTCTGTACACACAATTTATGCCTGCAGCAATATTGTGGTGGCAAAAGACCAAACCCCTCCAATACCTGTCTCTAAAGCCTGGATGGAGAAGATTCCATTCCTTGCCACATCCCTCCTCTCCCTGAACTAGACAAGACAACAACACAGGGACACTAGGACATTAAAAGGAGCACTGCCAGAATTATCCAGTTTCTTCACTGTCACATTCCACTACTCTGTAATTATTCTAAGCAGGCTATTGTAAAATGGAAGAATAGAGGTCTAACACCCAAAATTAGAAGCTCTACCTACTGTATAGAGCTATAATAATAGACATTACTGCACCAAGCTTTTATCAAAGCTCTGCTGAATGCATTTGGTTTAATCTGCCTAAGATCCCAAATTATTACCCAAATCAAACAGCAACTATGGAAAGCTTTTCTCCTTAGTAATGCTGGGTGGAAAAGGTGAGAAAAACACTGAGAAATTCCTTCTACAGCTAAGAATGTTAAAGCTTTATCCTCCAAACAAACATCAAGTTAGATTAAAGATACTGTATTGAGGACAGTCCCTCCTCCTCTTCAGATGAGATGCTTCTCATCTAAAGGGAAAAAAAGGAAAAAAATCAGCCAACTTACTCTTTATATACACACTTGTTCTTATGATAGGGCACAGACCCAAAAACTACAGACCTCCATTCTGGACAGGCTCCTGGTTAGGGTTTCTTCACTTCTGCTGTATTCAAGTAACCACAAATTTTGCCCTTAAGGCAGCACCCCACTTACAGAGAAGGCTCATGAAAGGGCTAGAACAGCATGGGAAAGCACAGAGGGACTATTAACCTAGCCCCGATTACAGCTAATTCAACTCATTAGCCCAGCAGAGAACACAGCTTTCTGCTAGGTTAGCTTTCTGCCAGCTTTATGTACTGAGTCAGCTCCTGCAGTGGGTCTGCCACAATCAGTACAAGGTGAGCAGGAGATGCTGAGGGTCAGGGGAAGGGGCACTGCCCTTCTGGAGGAAGAAAGCTCTTGTATTACCTGAGCTGTATTGTACACTTGCACGTTTAGCTGCATCCTCTGATGGATTAAAACTAAATGGATAAAGTCTCCAGGCAGACCTCTCCCAGCAGCTACAAGAACACTACAAACAGCATAAGTGAACTGCATGAAGAGAGGCAGAGAGCAGACACATACACATTTAACCTGTGCAGCTACTTGTGATTGAGGTCATTGACAGAATTCTCTAGCATAACTCCTCTGCTCAAAACAGGGTTAACTAGCCCAGCATTGTGATCCTGATTTGTGCCTTGCTCCTTCTCACCATACTGAATGTCACTATCCCACGGTCACTGCAACTGAGGCTGCCTCCAGCCTGTCCTAACCACTTTTCCCTTCTTTTTAAGTGGAAGCCAAGCATAATGACTTCCTACATCAGCACTGTGGTCACCTGTGTTAGCAAGAGGTCATAAATTCATTCCAGAGACCTCCTGGACTGCCTGTGTCCTGCCGTGATGCTTCTTCTACCACACTGTGAGGTAACTGAAGTCTCTCAAAAGAATCAGCACCTGTAAATATGAAGCATTTTGCAGTTGTCTGAAAGTCTCATCTGCTTCCTCTCTCTTAGGGGGTCTGTAGCAAACTCCCACTATAATGTCACTCCTATTGATCTGCACTCAAAATTTAACCCATAAGCTCTCAACAGGCTCATCTGACTGAAGGTAAAACTCCATGCAATTCAACTGTTCTTTCACATAAAATGTAACTCCCATTCCTTGCTACCTCAGATTGTCTTCCTAGGCCATCCACATGCATCCATTGCAGCACTCTAGCTGTGTGTCTATACCACAATAAAACTGTTGCCCTACACCTGCATCCAAATTCTACCTTCTCCCTTTTACTCCCAATAATGTCTGCAACTGTATAAATGCATACTTCAGAGAAGCATCCAGTCCTGCAGATGCCCACAAAAAGCAAGAGCTTACCCTATCAAGTTCTTTTGTACTTCCATTTTGGAGTGCTGGGATGATTCACCTTCAGATCTTATCTGTAGATTACTAAGGGTCTTGTTCAAATCAGCCTACACACTTTGTTTGCAAGTTCACTAATTCCTTACTTGACTGTGTGCAGTCATTTTCTTTTACTATAATCTCTACTTTTGCCCTGACATGGACAGGTGGATGCTATCCCCTCCTGGTAGTCCTTGCTCTGCAAAGGAGGTCTCAAGGCTGTAAGAGCCAAAGCTCTGCTAACAGCATGAGCTGTGAAATTAACTGGCTGTAGACAGGCAGTATCTGTTTATTCCCCCGATTGTGAGAAGGGGGTGAGGATCACAGAGAAGACCCACTTGGCTTCCTGTTGCCTTGGTCCTCATTCCATTGCTTGATAAGCTTCAGGCACCCCCGGGCTATACCCATTAGCATTCAAGTAGAAGAGCTGTAAGTTAAGTATTTTAAACTGTAAGGTTAAGTATTTAAAGGTGAAACACACCTTGGCAGTCCTTCCTCACATCCCTATCAGGAGTATCTAGAAGCAGCAAATCTCCCTAAAACAAAACCACAAGGCTCTATTCCCTACAGGAGTCAATCTCTCCACTATCTGCTCAGTCTCACCACTTGCTGCTGCCCTAGGCGCTGTTCTGGTGCTTGCTGTATAAAACCATAGAATCATTCAGGTTATAAAAGGCCCATAAAGAGCTTCCAGCCATGTGTCTTCTTCCAGTGCACTGAACCTATTTGGCAACTGCACATCTGTTCAAGGAACAGGAATCTCCCTCCTGGTGTCAGAGGCCACCAGCCTTCAGCATTGCAGGAGTATCCATCTCCCAGCCTGACATGCAGAGACTATTTCTGCCCCTCTGTCAATATACCTGGAGGTTTCAGATTCTTGAATCTGTAGAGTCTTGTAATTTTTGTTATTTATGATGCTGTGCAAGCCTGCTGACCCCCTTCCACCATTCCTTTGCTTAGTGACATAGGTTTTCCACAACTACACAACCTTAGGAGCAGGGACATCACTCGATTCCAGCTAGTGGGTGCCCCCCAGGCATCCCTGCAGCTCACAGTCCAGAGAGGTGCAGCCTCCCTCAGGAACTTGGCCTAAGCAGAGGCCTCTGATCTGCCAAGGGTAGTTGTGCCAGTGGTAGGGATCATGGCCTGTGGTGCTTAACTCCTTCACCAGGCTGATCAAGTTCAACAACCCAGCAGAAAAAGCTGAACAACAAAGCCAGTCTTGACTGTTTAGCTTGCTAAACAAGAGCAGGAAAGACTGCAGCCAAGACCAGCAGGACAAGAATGGGAAGATGCACAGTCATGAATGGGATCAGAATCTGCCCCTTTCAACAGCAAGCTATTAACCATATCAGTTTAATGACAACTGAAATTCTATATACTCCTTTGTGTTGCAATATCAGCTACTGCTGTTAACTCAGACTCTTAAAAATCAAAGATTCGCCATGGGTGTGAATTAAGACATTTTTGGAACAAACCTCAACAGAATCTTTGGAAGTCAGTCCTGCACTTTATGATACTAAGTGAAAAAATTCTAGATTAAGCAGAACATCGCTAAAAACTAGTATGGCAATGTTCCACTCCAATGAAATTTTACAAGAAAAGTTACTGTTTCAGAATCTATGTTTTTCTCCCAAGCAATAATTTCTGCTCAAGAAGGAATAAACATTAATTACCACACTAAACATAATTACCATACTAGTAGTTAAAATAGCACCATACTAAAAATCCCTTAAGCCTAGCAGCTTCCCTATCCTGTTTGAAGTCAAAGAAATATACAAGGTTACTTTAAGTATCACCCCGAGAGTGTTGCCACCAAAAGTCTTATTTCAGCAACGGGAAACAGAGTAATCAATTTCCCCTACTAAGTGGTTAATACTTCGCAGTTAAAAAATTGTGCTCTTACACTACTGACAACATTAGCAGGCTTTTTCCCTTCCCTGCTACCAACCTGAACACAGTTATACAATCCCTTTTTATGCAAACAAACTTTGATATGTATCTACATTCATTCAACCATAGGTTACTAAACTGCTTGGAGAGTGTAACTAGTGTTTCAAGATAAGGAACTGGACTACTGTGGAGCAATAGTGTACATATTTGATACTCAGCCAAGTTTTCTGCAAAGCCCCTCCGAGCTCAAACTGATCCAACACAGAAACAGCTTCTTGTTCCTGTCTCCCTGCCTGCTCACTAACAAGACAAGAGATTACCAGGCAAGTTTTTAACAGGTTAGGTGATTGATACTACCTAACAATTTGATTAGCAGGCTCAGAACTGGCACAAGTTAAGCAGCAGGAGAACACTGCCAGAGGCTAAGAGGATAGAATGAAACTGCCTCTTTCAACAAGGGCCTCTTGTATTAGCTCAGGCATCTCATTTGAGCTCCACTCTAGGCACAAACAGCATCTGTAAGCCAAATTTTTCCACCCTTACCAAGCACTGGTGCTCACACTGACTCCAAGATTCACACATGTAACTGGCTCCCACTGATCTGTACTTGGCATAGCTGACCTTAGGCAAAGCCAGTGCTTCAAACACAGTAAACACAGTTTGTTTATGACTGGGACCCCTCACTGCTTCACCTGTTCCTCAGTACAAGCTTCCCACAGGTACACCACTTTCACTTGCCTAGTTTAATGGAAGTTTTCTCTTCTGAATCACACCACCACTACTGCACAGAGAGCAGTGTATCTTATCTCTTGCTTTCCCCAAAACATACACTAAATTAACAAGAAGTGGACATGGTAAAGTGGACTATCAGATTTATGATTCTTTAGCAGGACAGGATATAACACACCTGTACTGCCAGCGAGTGTAGTGTTACATAAGCCACCAGTAAAGAGTTATTACAGTTGAACTCACAAAGGGAAGGAATTTAGCCACAGGAATTAAGGTGGGAAGGGTAAACATATTGCAGATGCATCATTTAAAGTGAAAGGTAACTGAAGAGCTTTTAGTCAAGCACTTTTGCCTATAGAAGATTTTTTGGGCACTTGTTGGGTGTTGTATATTTCCTACTAGGAAGCTAAGCTTTTCTTCCTGGTGTCTACAATAGCTTTAAAAATAATTAGCAACTAAAGCAGAGGTGTTGCAACATTCCTTGGTTAATGAGATAATCTAATAATATAAAAAGTAGACTTAAAGATTATGTTTGAGGAAAGCAAATTTTTTCAGGACCAGGGCTTAGAAAGCTCTCTGTAATATCACAGACTCACTCTCAAGGTAGTTCTCTAGAAAGACCACCACCCAGTTCAACATAGCCAGAAGGAGTACACATGAGGGAGTGGGAAACAAGCCTCCTGGCATTAAAAAGGCATACAACTGCCAAATTCTTTCCTTTTCTTAGTTTTCAACTTGGTGCTAACTGCCAAGTCAAATGAAATCACTAATGTTGGCAAGAAAATCCTGGATATTTGTAGAGGTTAATAACGAAATTAATTATACTCAGGTATAATGAATTAGGACTCTGAGGACCCACCCTACTGACATACAGCTCTTGCTAGAGATATGCAAAAGCCACTTAGTACTCTGCCTGTCTAGGCAGAAGGTCTTCTACCCTGGTCAAATATAATTTTGATCAGAAGTATTTCCTTAATATTTACCCAAATTTTCTATCTTCCTTAACTCCTTCAGCAGGCAATATAAGCTGGACAGAGGGCAACCAGGCATTTATGCAGTAGTTCCAATGACAAAGTTGTTCTGCCACTATTTTTACAAAATTAGTCACTTTGATAGCCTGTATGGTCTTTCTTACACTTTAGGTGTACAAATAAAAGTCACAGCAATGTGATTGTTTAGCCAAAGAGGCTTCCAAGGGGCATATCCATACAGCAGCTTGCTTTCAAACTGCCTCCTGAATTCTGCTACATTGTGCAAGACTGAAAACTTCATGTGAATGTATTGCTGGTGACCTGATAGTACCCAAAGACTGGCTGAACCTCTGACAAGTGAAACAAGCCATGAATAGGGACAGCTGAAACTGGCCATAAGAACACCTGTCTCTACAGGCACCAAGGAGAATAAATTACACAAGAGGAACAGGTTAATGAAAACCCCCAAAAAACAACCCAAAACAAAACCAAACAAAAAACAAAACAAAACACCCAAAAAATCTCCCGAAGAACCCTAACCAAACAAAAACCCTTCAAACACCACCCCTCCCCCTCAACCAAAAGAAAACCCACAACCCACAGAATTCAGTACAGGAAGCAACTAAAGAACAAAATATCGTCAGCCCTGAGTTTAAAACCAGGATCAAGTCTTCAGTACCTGCCTTTATCCATTTTTAAAAGCATAAAGTCAGCTACTCTGGAGAACAGAGTAACTGCAATATGACTTACTACAATTGCAATATTAATGTGGCAACATTACTACAGACACAAGAGGTATTGTACCAATCTCACCAAAAAAGGTGGTTTCATAAGAGGAAGAAAAGAACAAGTAAAATAGAAACACTGAAAAGTATTACTTTTTATTATTCTTAAATCCACAAATCAAGAAGAGAAAAACTTCTTGGCTTGTGCTTCCCAAGACAAAGGTTGCTATAAAAACAATTTTGATACTTAAAACAACACAGTACAAAGAAACTTGCCTGGTAGTTGAAGCAAATACTGGTATGGCTCTAGGATTCTTTTAGATGTTTCATCCATCCCATCCATTTCTTTCTTTCCTAAGACGTAGTTCACTGTTAAAGAGAGTGTTATTAACACTAATTAGATTTAAAAATGTGTAAGTAAGCAGTAGATGCATACAACTAAAATGTCAGCTGACTTACAGGTTAGGTGCAAATATTCCAATTTTGTGCATGACACCTTCAGTATACAAAAGGTTTCCATATGTCATTTACCAAGGAAACACATATAATACATGCTAAATACAGTTTAATTAATCATGAAGCTAAAGCCAACTCCTAGACTTTGCTTACTTTTTTGTATGTAGTAGATTGCTTAGGCAATGAAGTATTTAAAACTTTACCATTCAAAGCTCCACTGCAAATCTTTAAAGACACTCATACAAAACCTCACAGAATTTATCTGCTAAATGCTTTCTCCACACATCAGACATTTCAAAAGCGGCAATGTCTAAGAGCACAAAATATACCTCAGACCAAGGCAACCTAAAGAAGAAGAATACTAGCTTCAGTCTTTTGATATAATTCCTCAATCTTTTGTTATAAGTCAAAATAGAAATACACAATTTTTCTACCACCGTTCAAACATACTGACAGCTCTACACACTTTCCCACACACCATAAAATGTAATAGACTCTTATGAATAATCTTTTAGGATCCAGGGCCTGCAGAGCTCAATTTTCCATTGATTAGCTTCAAGTCACATACTTTAGGTCACCTCCATCTGCATTTTTTTTTCAAACTGTTTTCTGTGACAGATTTATTACCCTTTCACCTCTAGCCTTCCTTACTGCACTGCAGATGCAGCAACTCAAAACAATTCTTCTCAGGTAGTTTTAAGACAGGAACTGCAGCAGCAGCATAAAGTCTCATGCTACTTCAGCATCACTTTTCAGATACTTTGCTAGTATCCTGCAAAGGATTTATTTCTTTGCTGCTGGAGGAAGTGAATAGTTATGTAAATTAATGTCCCAATTTTGGCCAGACTAGAGCTAATTTTCCTCCTAGTAGCTGCTGCAGCGCTGTGCTTTGGGCTCTGTGTGAGAATACTGTTGATAACACACTGATGTTTTGGCTGTTGCTAAATAACGCTCACTGTAAGTGAAGGAGTTTTCAGTTTCCCAAGCTCTGCCATGGAGCAGGTGCACAAGGAGCTGGGAGAGTATAGGTCAGTCAGGTCTGTCTATTCCCATTCCCACCTTCCACATCCAGAAGCATTTGTAGCAGTCTGTACTTGGGGAACTGATTTGTGTTAATAACTATTTTCCAAGTTTAGGTATAGATCAACTTCTTTATTTGCTTCACTCTATGTGTTCACCAAATGTATTGGCACTTCAGGAGCAAGAAAGGCTATGTAACCAAATACAGTTGTCAACAAAACGCTCATAAGGCTGCACCTTTTAAGAAAGCTTTGCATATTTTCTTGGCAGTGATGCTGTGATAAGAAGTACAGCCTCTCCATCCTATCCATGTGCCAGCACAACTAGAGGCCAGGCCACACACTAATCAAAATCAGATTTGACACCCTTGACTCCTTATTTTGTTGTCAGCTTGTTGCTGTAACTGAAGTGCTTCCAACCAGCACTGCCACTGAGAGGCAGCTGTCAAACTGTACCCTTATATATAAAGAGTAAGTCTCAAAGGACTTCAGTAAGGAGGTAAAATCAAAGATCTTCAGAGTCTACTCCAGATGTTTTAAGCAGAAAGAATCTGGTGGAGATAGATATAAGGATATACTATCAACCTAACAACTCCCCTGTGACTATTACTTGTCAAAAAGCCACACAGACAGTGACAGAATTGAAAGTGCACAGCTATCCAGCTAGGCTGAGAGGAGATGTTAGCATTGGAAGTGCTCGCCTAGAAAAGCTCTTGCTTAGAAGTAAATGTTAAAGTTCTTCCTCTTCCCTCAGGGAATTAGGTCTCTTGCTCATCTACAAGGGAGTAAGCCAACATTCAGAACCCCCAACTAACTTGAAATTCATTAGTATTGTACAGCATCAACCTAAATATTTGCATCTTTCTGCACAAAACTAATAGGAGTTCACCTGAAATACTAAATGTCAACAGAAAATTAGTCAGGTACTTCTGCCACAAGTACAGAGATTCTTACTTTCTTTTTTCTTTTAATAAAAGGCAAAAAAAGATCTAATGAACAAAAGTAACAAATCTCAAATCAATATAATTAAAATTTTCTATACTACTATTTTACCATTAAATGAAATTCTAGGTAAATCCCCACCAGGGATTTACCAAGGAAAAAAAAAAAGTCTGATTATTCATCAGACAGCTACACATTTAACACACCCACTAGCACACAAACAGTGAACAGAACCTCCCCCAAACTTACACATAGAAAGGGACCCTTGATAAAGGAACATGTAAATGAAATTCATTACAAAAGCCTCTAAGCAAAAATACCATGATACCACACGTGTAATATTATTGCTCTTTGCACAAAATTATCACATACAGCACACTTGGGAAATGCCTGATATTAAGAGTTTCCTGCTGAGGTGACTGACCGATTTGTTATGGAAGTTACCCTTCTCAGTGATTTACACACAAGATCTCAAGTCACCATACCCCACTAAAAAGTAAAAGCCAGCAGTTAAACAATAAATGAAAGGCTACCAAAAGCCTTTTGCTAGTGAAAGTGCAAGAATTGATTACGTCTATGCTTATTCATAGGATTAAAGCAGTTAAGGCCATTTTACCTTATAAACCAGCACATGAACTTGCTGCATGTCAATTCATATGCATGACAAAGTTAATTTTCCAGTTATTTCTTATATCTTCACATAGGCAAGAAGAACAGCCACACACAACAGAGAGCCCAAACAGCTGCCTTTTGGACTGCACCAAAGCTTATCTCTGATGACCTCTTTGAAAACACACATGACACGAGGATAAGATGGTGATGTGGGCCTCCATAATGTGGAACTACTCTAAAGGCATACTTGAAGCTGTGATCTGTGTCTAGAACCTTTCTAAGAGGATGAAAGTTGATGATTAATGATGATTAATTCCAGGCCAAATGTCAAGAAAAAGTTTCCCTTTGGAATTTTGCAAAACAGCTTCTCATGCTACCCTGTTCCATTCCACTCCGCAGACCTTTCTTCCCCTCCTCCCAAATAGGGAGAATAGTCTGAAATAGTCCAGGTTAAAAATACAGATGGTATTTTAAAAAGTATCATCATTTCAGGGGCTGCAGTCATAGTGTAATTACAGAGAAAATAGGAGACAACTACCAAAAAAGCAAAGAGCTCCAGTATAAAATGAACCATTCAGAAGGTTCTCAAATCAGCTCCATCACAGAATTTAGTGCACGGAGACACTGGCTTCGTTGCAACCACTGGGGGGGAAGAAGCCCCAGACAGGGGGAGCAAGTAGGAGTGAGAAGCAAAGTTTCAAAAAGAATACACAGAAAACATAGTGAATGAATATCTACTGTTTCAAACAGAGACTACCAGAAGTCTTAATCCAAATGCCACTGGGCCACCAGTCCACATTCCCACTCTAATTAGCAGAGTCCTGTTTATAACCTCTCCCAGGCTGACACCTAACAACACCTCGCATTCAAGCTGTGGGCGGGCAAGCTTCCCGCAGGTGGAAGGGCAGTGGCAGACCACACATTTTCCCCGAAGATGCAGCTGAGTAAACAACAGCTTTCCATAGTGCCACTCCACTAACGTCTGAACGACACGAGCACCCTACTCCTGAGATCGTGGCTCCGTTTCAATGGGGAATTCCAAGAAAAATTGAGCAGGAATGCTGCAGAAGCCCGAGAACAATACCTTGGCCGCCGAAGTCGCGGCCCGCAGGCAGGGAGGGTCTCTGAGCTGCGGCCTGACCCGCGCACAGAACATGAGTCGGCAAAACCCGCGGCCGCAGCTGGAGCGCTGCGTTCAAACTCACATTCCACAGAGAACATGAAGCTGCTGCCGCCAAGCTCCCGCCACAGCCGGACCGACGGAAATAAGGTTCATTTTTTTCGGAGTTCAACGCGACAGACGCAGCTCCCTCAGCTGCCTCCAGAACCCCAGGACGAGCGGGCCCAGCTCTTCAGCGCCATTTTAGGAGATTGAGAGCCGAGGACGCATCGCTCCCCCCGCCCGCCGTCCACCCCCATTTTCTGATCGGCGCTGTCGGGCTCAGCCGCCAGGGAGGGCCGGGAAGCGCCGCCCGCCGCCAGCCCAGCGCAGCCCCGGCCCCGGAGCGCTCTGTCAGTCACTCCGCCCGCCCCGGCGACCGCCGGCACCGCCCAGCACTACCGGCGGCCCCCTTTCCCCCGGCCCCTTCCCGGGCAGCCTACAAGCCCCTCCTGGGCGGGGCGGGGCGGCCGCAGAACCCGCTCCCCCGCAGCCGGGCTCGGACCGGCCCCTCCGAGAGGGGCGCCCCCCTCTCTTTCCGCCGCCCGGATCCCAATGGTCCCCCGCCACCCACAGCCAGCTAACAGGGCAGCCGACCTCACCTCGCCTCGCTGCTGCTGCTGCCGCCGCCGCCGTCGTCGTCTCCTCCTCCTCCTCCGCCGCCGCCGGCGGCAGCCGAAACCCCGCCCTTGAGCAGCCGCCGCTCCAGGAGTGGCGGCGCTGGCGACGGCAGAGCCCAGAGCGAAGCGCCGCCCCCCTCCTTCCTTCCGCCCCGCCGGGCGCCACCTTCCCCTCCTGGGGGGAAAATGCGCCACCGAGCGCCCCCCGCGCACGCGCACGCCCCGCCCCCTCGGCTCGTTAGCCTTCTCCGGAGTGCCCCGCCCCCCGTGCGCGGTGCATTCTGGGAGTTGCTGTCCACTGAGCCGCGCAGCACTGCCTGCCAGAAACGCTGCTAACGACGAGTAGGAACTGCGTTCCCCATGAGCACCCTCGGCGCCGAGTCTCAGTTTCCATAGAAGTGGAGAAGAATGATGTCAGTATTTCCGACACGAAGGCCAATGGGGCCGCGGGGTAGGCGGGCCCTGCGGGACACGGCCCAATGGGGGAGGTGGAGAAGGGGGCGTGGCCGTCCCCGTTCGCCCGTCAGTCAGTCATCGGTGCGGGAGGGGGAGGGGGACCGAGCCGTGCAGTCACCGCCGCCGGGGCCGCGCAGGACGGATCGGCCCCTCCGCGCGCCGTGCGGGGCCGCCGCCAGCGGAGCCGCTGCAGCAGCGTTGAGCGGGGCCGGGGGTGCCCGAAGCTGAGAGGAGCCTTCGCCCAGTTCCCTTCCGTGCCCCCCGCCTCGGGCCGGGGGAGTAGCGGGCGGGCGGTCGCAGCGGAACAAAGGTGAGGGCGCCGAGCCGAAGAAGGAGCCCCCGTGCCCCGCCGGCGGCTGGCGGGGAGGCGGCGGGGGGCCCCGTGGGGGCGAGGGGCCGGGCGTGCGGTGGCGAGGGAGGGAGGGGGGCGCTTGTTTTTCTCCTGGTAGCGAGACTGCGGCGGGACTCGCCGATGCTTCGTCTTCCCCCCCACCCCAAACACCCAGTGGCGGGCCGGGGGAAGGGACCGGCGGCTTCTCCTCCGGCCCCTCTGCCGGGAGGGACGGAGCCCCCTCCTCCACACTCGTACAGACACACGCTCCGTGTCCCCGCCGAGCAGGTCGGGCCCCTTTCTCCCCGCCCCCCTCCATTCCTCCCTCCCCGTCCCCGCTCCCTTCTTTTCTTCTTCTTCTTCCTTTTCTTCCCCTCCTCCGCCGCCTCCTGCCTGCTCTCCCTCCCTCCCCCCGCCCGGACCCACTGCGCCGAGCCGGGGAGTTGCGGCTGTTGCTGCCGAAACTCCTGCGGCGGAGTCAGCGCTTTCCTTTATTTAGGGGGGGGAGACGGAGGGAGGAGGAGCCGCCGCGATCCGGAGCCGCAGCCCCTACAAAAGCGTGTGTGTCGGGGTGGGGGGACTGCTCCCGACACCCCGCTCCACGGCCGTGCACACGGGCACTCTTCCTCGTACAATGGAGGAAGAGCCTCCCTCCCTTTCGCCCTCCTTCTCTCCGCTCTGTCTCCCCCCGCGGTAAAGCGAGCAGGGGGGTGTTCTCTGCGCCGGGACCCGCGGGTGCCCTCCCGCCGCCCGGTGCCCGGGGAGGGGGCGCAGCGCCCCGGGGAGGCGGCCGGGGCGCCTCCCCCTCCCGCGGCAGCCGGGGGTGGGTTGTTGTTGTGGCAAGTTTCTCCTCCTCTGACAGAAATGGCGTCAGTGGCAGCGAGTGTAGGGGAAGCCGCGGCGTGTGGGAGCCGCGGGGGGAAACGGCGGCCGAGGAAAGAGGGAAGGGGGTGAGCGGCGGGAGAAGGGGGGATCCGGGCAAGGAAAGGGGCAGTATCGGGAGGAGCCCAGCGCCCCCACCCGATGTTTGGCTCCCCTCCCCCCGCCCGGTGCGAGCGGCTGGTGCGGTGCCTTAGCGCTTTGTTTTAAATTCCAGGTCCAGCCTCGGCCGCTCAGCCACGATCGAGGCTTTTACCGCAGCCTGAGCTCATCATGAAGGTAAAACACTCGCTTGTGTGCCTGGGAGGGGAAAGGAGGGAGGGTTGCATGGAAAAATGCTGTCCTATCTGTCAGTCCATCTGTCCCGACCCCGGTGCGAGGCTCGGCGCTGGTGCAGATCCAGACTGCGGGCAGCTTCGCCCCCACTGCCGTGTTTCGGTGCCTTGACTCGTTCGCTGATCGTGGGGCGGGCTTTGCTCCGCCGCGTTATGCTGGGGGAAGCCGTGAGTTCCCCGAGCAGGGGCTGTTCTCCTTCACAAACATTGTTTGTAGGAGAATAAGGACATGGCTGCCTGGGCTGAGCTTGCTTCATGGAGGAGCAGGGCACAGTCACCCTGCTCGAGAAAGTAGCGTTGTGGGGGAAATGCTGGCTCTACAACATTGTTTACTTGAATAGAGGGTAGATTTACTTACTTTCTATTCGTCAATAGGAGTTTTGTTGAATGAGTAATCTTGATGAGAGCGGGGAGGGTGCAAGTGAGCGATTCTCCGCAGTGAAATGATTGCTGTAAGGTGCGGAAAGATTTTCTAACAGGTTCTAATTTCCTCTCGGTGCTGTGTAGTATTCATGTACCTCACTGTCATGCATTTTTCTTCTCTTCGACCTTTCTAGACTGTTGATGTTTGGTATATTATGCAAGCTAAATAGCAAAAAAGATCGTTTTGGTGGAATAGAATGATTTCTTCTGTGTATGGGCAAGAACTGTGTGCCTAAAAGTAGTTTTTAACAACTGTGTTAGTTAGGGCTTTTTTTACCATTTTGCCGATATGTCTCGCTCAAACTGCCATTCGTGTTACTGTCACCCCCGTGTAATTCAGCTCCCGGTCCTGCTGGGCAGCAGTAAATCTCACTTCAAAATACTATAAATCTTAGAAAAAACAATTGTTCCAAACCTATGATGCATCAATTCCTTGGTGTTTATTAATAAAAAGCAGTAGTCTGTATGTGGGTTCTTCTACTATCAAGAGTTTTTGCCTACTGTCTGTGAATAAGTATTATGTAAAGTGTGCACCCAGTACTATATTCACTGCTAGAAATGGTAAATGAAATAGACTCTGTTAATTTCTAGATTGATCTGACTTGCTGAGCAGTGAAGTCTTTCTGTATAGCTGTTAAAGGTTTAGTATGGTTTTTTTTTTACTTTGGTGACTTTATGGCAGTGTTTTGAAAAATCACGTTTTAATTGCCCTATGATTTTTCTTTAGCAAGTGCTAAGATATAAAATACTGCACACGTCTGTCTTATTAAAAGTAAACTATTTATGAATTTACAACAACAGGCTGTTGAAGTTGTATGATAGGGAGGTTTCCCAATGTGGCTCATTGCCTGGTGGGGATACTGGAGATGTAAGCAAGATAAATAGGAGGCAGTATAGGGAGCTTTTTTCCCCAGAAGGAAAAAACTTATTTAAATGACAGTTAAATTTACATAAGTTTCTAATATTCTTTTTCAATGTAAACAAATCTTACAGTTACCATAGAGATTAGGTTCAGATACTCAGTTTTTAGAGCCATATTAATATGTAGATAGACAGCTGGGAGCATGAGGAGGTCAGATCACAAGTAGAACGCAAAGTGTTCTGTGAAACAGTGATACAGATCCACTTCAGGCTGAATTGAATGTATAACAGATGATTAAACTTAGAGTAACAAATACAAAAACCTGTTAATAGACCTGTATTTTTTTAAAAACCCTCAGAGCTTACTTAGTCTTCACTAAAGTTTGTACTACTCTTGCATGTTTATTTTTAAAGTTAGGATAAATTCTGTCAGAGTGTTCAGGTGTTAAGTTTAAGTCTGTAGCTTTGCAATTTGTGTGTGTCTAGTGTTAAACTTATGTATGCTTGAGATAACTCCAGTACTTTATTTACTGTGCCCTGTAGTGTTAAGGGAGGTTAATCTGTAAGTCATTACTTTGAAGCTTTCGTTATTACAGGGAAACTTCTAACAGTATTGTGGTTCCAAATAAATTTCTAAGATTCAACAACTTAACCAAGATTATAGGAGTTATACAGTGGATCAGTCCTTCTGGCTGGCTTAAATTTGTAATTTATTACTTAAGCTTACAAGGATACAAGCCAGTCCAATAAGAAGCAGTAAGGGAGAATGCTTAAGAGAATTATTAGCTTTCTGTTTGTATCGCTTCAAGGTAACATTGACTAGATTAGATCAAGATACTGTTTAAATATGACTGTATATTTCTGTGCATTTTTTAAGTTATCCAAAGAACATACTCTTTGGATACTCAAGGACACTTCAGCATGCAGAGGATTTAATGTTTTTAAGACCTAGTCTTGCTTAGGATCTGCTGATGCAGACTTGCTTCTGACTGCATGATAGAGGCCTCTGTTTTGATTTATGCCTTGGTCATTCCTTCAGGTGCAGAGCGTTGTAGATTCTGGTGCACAGAGCCTTAGAACTGGATTCCTTGTCAGTACCTTGTCTCTTTATGTGAAGTTGAACAATTCAATTAGCTTTACTGACTCCTTTCTCCCACCTGTGTGGTATGGATAAAATGTTGATCTTTCTTTGTAAAGCACAGTGAGGTATATTTAGGAACAGCACCAACAATTGTATTGACACAAAACCGTAAGTCACTTGTGTTCTTGCATTTCGCAACGCTTTGACACAAGAGAGTTATGCTGCCTGCTTAGAGATTACCAGAGCTGTTGGTATCATTGCTCTCCTTGTA